CCTTACGGACAGTCACAACTAATTTTTCATGGCATATAAATAATCATGCCTCGTTAGTCCTAGTCACTCTTGACAGGATGATTAAGTTTCTATTTTACTATTTTTTTATTTTTTTTAAGAAAAAAGGCTAGAGCATGGCATTTTTATCATAAGAGAGACATAAATGCTGATTAAGCTTTATGCTCACTGGCTATATTTGCTAATATTGTTCTTATTTGAAGAAACCGCGCTAACCACGTTAAGTTGTGGATTAATGGAGTGGACTGGCAAAGTGGATCAAGGAACTGTTTAGTTGCTTTTAACTGGAGATTGCTAAGACAGCGACAGGAACCAGGACATGGAGCCATTTCTTGTGCTAAACGAGCCCAACACTGTTAGGATTGCATCATACACCGGCCCTAGTTGGCATATCCGAATAGCTGTCATTTTATCCAAGTTCTTCATGCTCCCCCAAGCATGTCATCAATCCCTCGAGTGATCATTTATGTTTTCGATGACTGATGATCAGGCTTGTTATAGCCGTGTTGTTTCGAAGGCAGACAAAATGGTGAAACGTGAATTCCCATTTCTACATCGTTTTATTACTTCGTGAAAATTGAAATGCATCTACAACACCAAAGCTGTGCAGATGTTTTAATCTGAGAGCAGATTATTTTGATGGTTAAGATGGATTGGTTGAGCTCTAAGAAATTTTCTATTCAGCCGAATCCATGCCCGTGTGAACGATAGATAGTTCATAAATTCCATCTTCAAGGCTGAGCTCAGCTGCATCATGATGTTATTGTTAGGATGAGTTACTGATGAATGTACAAAAACAACACCTTGGAAGGCAGGTACGTTTGGATTGGGCAACCAACATTGAGAGCATTGTTTGTGAGGTAAGACAAGAAAATCGAGATTGTGAAATTAAAAAAGAGAGAGAGAGAGAGATGAATGCTGGTAGTATTTCATTGGATAAACGAGAGGGACAGAAGTATGGACGTAGTGGAAGGCTGAGTCAGGCATATCCTGTCACCCACCGAAGTTGAAGAGAAACGCGTTAAGGAGTGGTGGCCTGGACTGCCCTTGGCCAAAAGTTGGAATCTTTCTTCAAGCGGTCATCCTTCGGTCCACTTCTCTTCTTCTTCTTCCTCTTCTTTTCCCAGACGCCATCATTCACTATCTTTCACATCGAATGTTTGCTTCAACGCACTCACCTCATTTCTACTTTTTCCCCGCCCTCCTTTCCTCTCCCTGCCTACCAAGGTGGAATGCAAATTAAATCACTTTCTCGTTTTACATTTACACGAGTAAACTTTGATTTAAACCAAAAAAAAAAAAAAAACTAAGAGGAGGATTTAGTGTTTCATTGTACTATAAAAAAATTACTATATAGATTCACGTAATGACTTTTATCCTTGAAGTTCTTTCTATGTCTGGTCATTAATTTTATATATTTTTTTAATTTTATTATTTCATGCTACAATGATGGGTGATCAAATTTGACAGTTTATTTTGTACGGATTTCTTTTAGGTCTTCATGTTTTTTAAAAAATATCTTAATATTAAATTAATTATTTATTTTTCATGAAAATATTTTATTTGATTAACTAGGAAAAAAAATAATATGAGAGGATAAAAACCAAAATAAGGGTAAAATATCATCCATTTGTTTAAAAAGAATTTTTTTTCATGGTAATTTTTATTTTTTAGTCCAGTCATCTATTTATTTTTTAATTTTATCTTTTAATATTAATTTAATTGATAATTTAGCTTAGTGACATGTTTTGTATTGTTACCTCTCTTAAGTTATCATAATTTTTAAAAACATCTCATATAGGCTGGTTCTTGATTTTATTATAATTTATCAAGTTTTGTTGTTTTTAAGAAATTAACTACAAGGGGATCAAAACTTTACAATTATATACAAAGCTTTATTTTATTTATGTCTTGGTCTTTAAATCGAGGAGGGAGGATCGTGAAAAAAATAATGAAAGAGAAAGAAAAATATTGGTTATTTTGATTTAGTACACCAAAATGCTTAGATTTTATGTCAAAATATTTTTATTGACAAAATAAATGACATTGAAGAGTTTTGAGTTTTTTTTTAAAAAAATTATTTAATGAGTTAGGTCGGGGTTGAGATATTTTTTTTTTGTTGGATTTGGATTCTTTAACCAATTCAAGATAGATTTCTTTTTTAGTCGGGGATCTACTTTCATGAGATTATGAGAGTGTTTTTGATATATTTTGAGGTATAAATGACATATTGTTTGTTTGTTTAAACAAAAATTAGTAAATAATGTGCGAGATTAGAAAACAAAAAAAGAAAGACTCAAGCATGTATGCCTTGTCTAGTAGACCCAGACACACTCTCCATGTCTGGTAAGCCCACATGCCTAGGTTCCTCTTTAAAAGTCTGAGCATGGTAGGCCATTATACTATGCAAGTAGTCTATTTTTTCTCCTAATAATTGATATTAACTTTATTAAAAATCTATAATTTATTTTAAATTATTAGAATAACTAGGAATGATTTTTATATGTTATTTTATTTGATTTCACTTGGTTTTTACTTTGTTGAGGAATCATTCTTTTCCTATACTTATTAAGTTTTGAGTTAATTATTATAATTTTTCTTGTTGCTGAAAAACATGTTAGCATTCCATTGATATCTTTTTATATTAAAAAAAAATTAGGGCGATGTAATTTTTATATTATTTAATTTAATTTAATTTATTTTTTACTTTGTTGAGCCATCATTCTTTTCCTCTACTTATTGAATTTTGATTTAATTATTATAATTTTTCTTGTTGCTGAAAAACATGTTAGCATTACATTGATATTTTTTTATATTAAAAAAAATTGGCTTGACCCTTAGGGCGATGTAATTTTTATATATTATTTTATTTATTTTTTACTTTGTTGAGCCATCATTCTTTTCCTCTATTTATTGAATTTTGAGATAATTATTATAATTTTTCTTGTTGCTGAAAAACATGTTAGCATTATATTGATATCTTTTTATATTAAAAACAATTTGGCTTGGCTCGATGTGAGTCAATTATCTAGTTTATGTATGCATTTAATAATTACGTTGATTAGGTTCATTACAATTTATTGTTGAATTTAACAATACAATGGCTAATGAAAAGACCTACAAGTCTTTTAAAATGAATGGGGAACTTTTGCTTGACTCTGTGGTAAGAAAAATCAAGAACTGTTTCTTAGATAATATAAATAATTTCAAAAACTCTATCGAATCTTTGTTTACCATGGTTAAATCTCGTTGATTGTTTCTCTGTAGTTTTAATATAAATAATTGTAGTATATGTATATATAGTTAAATCTCATTGATTGTTTCTTTGTAGTTTTAATATAAATAATTGTAGTATATGTATATACTCAAGGTCTCAGACATCATGATAGATGGACTATGAAGTTTTAAAATCAAAAAGGAAAACGTTAATACAACAACTCCAGATAATCATAGATAAACTAACCGACAAGAACAGGTCAGTGATTATATTCTCAAGGATGTCAAAATTTGTGATCTTAAGGAAAATAGAGTTAAATATGCTAAGATATCTTTTGAAGGGGCATATGAAATGGGATTGTGCTCTAAATCTTACTTTTTAGTATTTTTTAGACTAGGAATTTTTATTTTTTTTCACAAGTTCTTATGTAGCCTTGGAATTTGACTTTGATCATTTGAGATTTGTTGTCGGCCTTACGAAGATTTATTTTTTAATTTGCATGTGAACCGAACACTGGTATGTTTTGTTGGTTTTACAAGTTATCATAAATGGCCGTGTGTTAATGCATTTTTACTATTCGGGATGGAGCCAACAGCTATACTTGAAGATGTGAAATTAGTAAGCTTCACAAATAAAAAATCAATAATAGTAGAATTTGTTTCTTGGTTGATGTTGTTTTATGTTTTGCAAAATCATTTATTTGTCAAGGGAACCAGGTTATTTTTAGTGGATATTTGAAAATGTAGTAACCATTATTTTTAAAGTGTTTTTTATTTAAAAATATATTTTTTATTTTTTTAAAATTATTTTTTATATTAAAATACTAAAAATATTAATTTAAAGTAAAAAAATTAAATATTTTAAAAATAGTACAAAAAATAAACACATTCTTAATATACAATTATTGCATCGCCACTCGCATCTTTTGTTTGAAAAAGAAGAAGCTAGCGCAACAGTAGCTTGGATAGCTGAAGCTGCTAGTTTGTTTGCTTTACTGAGGAGGTTATTTTCTTGTCTGTAGATGATTTTCTATGTCCATGGTATTGCAATCGTTAAAAGAAGAAGAAGATGATGATGAAGATGACGACGAGAATTGTTTTTTTACAAGGAAAAAACAATATGATTGCTGGAGCTTTAATGTCTTGCCCTTGCATCTCTCTATTTTCTCTTAATAAAATTCTGGCCCCTGTAATTCCCCTATATCCATTAATGGATGCCAATTTCCCCATCAAATCACCTGTCCTTATTAAAATTTTAACTTGAAAACAAACAAACAAAAAAAAAATCAAAGTGATTTTGAAAGAAATACAAGGAACATCACTGCTACAAGATAGAGGATCATTCAGGGAGCATTTGTATTTTCATTATAATTTTTTTTATAAAGTTTTTTTATTTTAAAAAATATTAAATTCATGATTTCTTAGATTTTTTTTTTATGATTTTAATACTTCAATATTAAAAAATATTTTTTTATTTTAATATAATTAAATGTACGATTGATTTTCATATATTTTTAATTAAAAAATGCAAATAATGAGGTTTTGTTTTTCTTTGACGTTGCATTGACCAAACAGAATCACACTCACTGTCCCGCGCGTGAGATAAGAATTGGAATACACACGCTCAAGTGACGAGGTACCCGTCGAGTCGGCAAGAGAAATGTGGGGTCCATGTCAAGTCGAAAAATTAATTTGCCATTCATTTCCATTTCATTTATTAATTTCAAAAGAAGAACAGCAGAGTTAAGCAACTGTTAGCCTTCACCCACCCTGGTACAGAAAGAAAAGTAGCTCTGCCTTTGAAGATTTGACTTTGACCAAAAAACCCAGAGAGACAGAGAGAGACAGGAAAATTCTTACTTTCCTCTCTCCTTCCTCCTGAAGAAAATTCTCACATATATGCTATATAGAACCCACGACCGGGTCTTGTTGTAACAGCTCACCGCTCCCTTCCGCCTCATCATTTGAGCTAAACGAAGCTCTTCTCTTTCCCTACACTCTTCTAAAAACACTTGAAACTTAACTAAAGACTTCAATTCATTAGCTGTTTCTTGCTCTTTCCATCACAAGTACTGCTCATAGGTATGTCCTTGTTTATCTTACAGAATGAAACTAGCATACTTGCTAATTTAATTTTCTATGAATTGTAGGTGTTGGTTAAAGTCTGAAACTTTTTTCTGGGGCTGCTTAATCTGATTTCTTCTTCTTTTTAGGTGTTCTTGTTTTGTTGGAAATAGTAGCGATCTTAGAATAATAAGTCTCTTTTTGTTCTTTTATGGTTCTAATTCTGTTTGTGATTTTCTCTTGGCTTGTTTGGAGAGGAAATTTGTGGAAAAAAGCATTAGAAGTCGAGGAGAAAAGTTTGAAATGATTTAATTCTTGTCTTCTTTATCATCATTAAATAGTTTTGCTACTAGCATATAGTTTTCCAAGACTTGATATAGGTTTTTTGACCTTGTTATTTCTTGATTTCATTAATGAACTGTATAGAATTCTTGATTATGGTATATTAAGTATGCTTGTTATAACGATGCAGGACTTGGGTATGTGCACAGGCTCAAAGAGTGATTTGTCCCCCTTAAATCCGATCATGGAAGACGAATCTTACAGTCAAAAGGGAAGTCCCTTGTATAAATGCTCAGTTTTGCTCGAATTGTCTGCCTCTGATGATCTTGCTGGCTTCAAAATTGAGGTTGAACAGAAGGGTTTGGATATTGATGAGGCAAGCTATTGGTATGGCAGAAGAATTGGGTTGAAAAAGATGGGCTTCGAAGAGAGGACACCTCTCATGATTGCTGCCTTGTTTGGAAGCGGCCATGTTTTGAAGTATATCATTGAAACCGGCAAAGTCAATGTCAATAGGGTGTGTGGCTCGGATAGGGTCACTGCCCTTCACTGCGCTGTTGCCGGTGGTTCCGATTCGTCAGTTGGGGTTGTCAAGCTCTTGCTTGATGCATCTGCTGATCCTAACAGCGTTGATGGTAACGGAAATAAACCTGGTGATCTCTTTGCCCCTTCATCCAAGTGGCTGTGCAATTCAAGGAAGAAGTTGATTGAGTTGTTGCTAAAAGGCGAAAGTTTAAGTGAAGATGAAGAAGAGAAACTGATCATAACGCCTCAGTTGGCAAGAGAGGGAATTGAAAAGAAAGAATATCCTCTTGATGTGACACTGCCAGATATAAACAATGGAATATATGGTACTGACGAGTTTAGAATGTACTCTTTCAAGGTCAAGCCTTGCTCCAGGGCATACTCTCATGATTGGACCGAGTGCCCATTTGTCCATCCAGGAGAGAATGCAAGGAGAAGAGACCCAAAGAAGTACCCTTACAGTTGTGTCCCTTGCCCTGAATTTCGCAAGGGAACATGCCAGAAAGGTGATTATTGTGAATATGCACACGGTGTTTTCGAGTCATGGCTGCATCCTGCTCAATATCGTACCCGGCTTTGCAAGGACGAAACTGGTTGCGCACGAAAAGTTTGTTTCTTTGCACACAAGCCCGAGGAATTGCGTCCTGTGTATGCTGCTACAGGTTCAGCAATGCCTTCACCGAGGTCAACTTCTAGTGCAGTGGACATGGCGACTTTGAGTTCGTTGGCCCTCGGATCATCATCTCTGTCGTTGCCTGGTACATCAACACCACCAGTGTCCCCCTTGGCCGCAGCCTCCTCATCTCCCAAGAGTGGAGGCTTGTGGCAGAACAAAGTTAGCCTTACCCCACCTGCTCTGCAGCTCCCAGGAAGTAGGCTAAAGACAGCTTTCTGTGCTAGAGATTTGGATTTGGAGATGGAATTGCTTGGGCTGGAAAGTTAATCTAGCCAACTCCAGCAACAGCAACAGCAACTAAGGGATGAGATATCTGGTCTCTCCTCGCCCTCCCACTGGAGCAGTAGGATGGCAGATCTGAAACCTACCACCCTTGACGATGTTTTTGGATCTCTTGATCCTTCTTTAATGTCTCCAATGCAGGGAGTCTCATTAAAAGCCAGCACACAAACCCAGTTACAATCTCCAAATGGGCTTCAGATCCGCCAGAACATGAACCAACTACGTTCAAGCTACCCAGCTGCCAATCTCTCATCTTCTCCAACTAGGAACCCAACTTCATATGGGTTCGATACATCCGCTGCAGTAGCGGCTGCTGTAATGAATTCAAGGTCCTCTGCCTTTGCAAAACGGAGCCAGAGTTTCATTGACCGCGCAGCAGTACCCAACCGATTTGGCCTCACTGCAGCTGCTAACTCTGCATCAATGATGTCCTCTAATCTTTCCGATTGGAACTCCCCTAATGGGAAATTGGACTGGGGCATTCAAGGAGATGAGCTGAACAAGCTCAAGAAGTCCGCTTCCTTTGGATTTCGAAGCAACAATAATTCTGCGACAACAGCTGCCAACTTGACAGCTTCACATGTTGATGAGCCTGATGTTTCTTGGGTTAATTCGCTGGTTAAAGATGTCCCCCCTGCTGGAAGCACATTTTTTGGTGCTGAGAAGAAATATATTCGTAGTGAAGGAGTTCCCGAATCGCTGCCACCATGGATGGAGCAGATTTACAGAGAACAGGAGCAGATGGTGGCATAAACGGCTATGCTATTTAGCTTATTATCCTGACAAATAAGTGTATTTAAATTTAGGAGAAGCAAAGTTGATGCTAAAGCAAACTGCAGATCAAAAGCAAAAGTGGAGCAGCAAGTATGCTCGTCATTGATAGACCAAGTGAGAATGAGGATAAAAATTAGGTGGAACAAGGAGAATTTTTTTAATTATTTTATATCCTTATTTTTTTTCCCTCCCCTCTGGGAGAATGTACTTTATATTTCGGTGGTGGAAGAAAAGAGTAATTATTTTCTCAAATACTGCAATCCCAGAAGGAAAATCCGGTGCCATTTTCCTTAATGACTTCAGTGTAAACCTTAATGATAATAAAGATCTTGATTGGTGTCATGTATTGTTGTGGTTTATTGATATTCTTCATTGTAAACGATACTTTTTCTTTCTTTGTGTTTTTTTTTCTTTCTTTGACAGGAATGGCATCTGTGTTTAGAACTTAGGCACAGAGCCGCTTGCTCATGGTACAGTCCTGCGAGCAACTTGAGTGTTGCAGTGTACACTAGCTACGCCATCCTTTTAATCTTCCAATTACGTAGTTCTTCCATACATTTCAAGCTATTGTTGGGTGACTCTGGGTTTTATATCCCTGTCGTAACTCCTGAAGTGCTCTAAAGAATGTAGTTACTATCATATCTGTAGTGTTTTGTATTTTGTGTTTTGAATGCCAAGATTGCCAGGACTCGTGCGTGGCAAGAAGGTTGAGACGGTCGAATTTCGATTCAAGCCGTGAAACATTAGATCTCAATGGAAAACAAAGGCTTAGATTGCTGAAAGGAATCGGTGGCTTATCCATTTCATGATTTTTTAGCTCATACACCAGACTGGGCTTGGTGTACATGTACTTTCTCATGGCTGAGCAAGGAGCTTCAATAATTATTTTTTTCTTGTGTAAATCCTTCCGTTACTGCCTCGAAACACCTAAATCTGCTCGTGATAAATTAATTATCTTTCGCAGCAAAAGAAAATCGCACGTCAGAATGCAAGAATATATGCTTCACCTAAATTTTGATCACTGATGCTTTGCATTTTGTTGAGATAAATTACCAGAATTTATAGTTTTGTTTGAATTATAGTAAATTAGCATTTAGTTGCTGTAATTAGGTAGATTTCATGCAATTGAACATGAATTATATGAAATTTTAATTAATTATGCTTTAATTATTTACGAGTTAATAGATAGTAAGGTTTAAACCTTACGTAAGTTAGAGATTAGTTAGATAGGGTTTTACATATATTGCAGGTATTATTTAAAATTTTAATTTAAAAGTTATTTGTGATTTAATAAATATTACGGTTTAAACACAATATCTACCAAATATATCATGGTTTCTAACCGTGATTTATTTTTTTCATGTCATATTTAAGAACCTTGACAAGCATATAATTTTCCTATTTCATGAATATTTTTTACATCTATGATATTTTAACAATTTTTTTAATCTTATGCGCTCCTAATAAACGTAAATACCCCTTGATCCATACCAGAAGTTTTCACAGATCGAGGAGTGATTGACTTTTCTTTTGTTATGTATCCAGGAAATTTCTCCTTTAAAGTTGAAAAGGACACGCATGCTGGCTTCGATTCAAACCATGATAAGACGTGTGAGTCCCACATCTTTCACCTCTGCATTTCTTGGTCTCTCGGCGATGGAAAAATATACGCAAGGTGTCGAGATGTGTAGCCAGAACCGCCCATGAGCGTCATTCTCAACCATACATTATTTTCCATCATCCTGAGATTGAAGTTTCTGCTCTCCTTCCTTAGTATTATACAATAATAATTTGGCCGACCACAGACGTTACTGATGCTTCCACTTTTTGGATATTATTTATTGAAAAGACGTAACACCACAAAGATCTACACGAGCGATCCTTCTTGCCCCCCTTGCATCATTGCATGCATTATCTGTATTTGGGCTAATTTGTTGGGCCTGAGTCTATTGCCGGCCTGCCAAATCATGTGAAGAAAATCTGCATGGCTGCTCACCTTTTTAAAGAGATCCATCGCCGAATGGAATTTCCTTCCGAGGAAAAATCACCAAGCCGCTTCTCTCAGGAGTCAAGAGAACGATCGACCACGGGACAAATAAGTAGTTAAAAACCGAGCCTAGCAAAATTTAAATAAATGAAACAATTTCTTTATTGTGTAAGTCACGGTGCCTGCCATCAGGGTCCGAATGCCTTTCGCGTTTTGTTTTTTCAAGTATTTTATTCTGGATAATCAACATTTTATGTAAGATTAAAATTGAATAGATATATGATCAGGTATATACAATTTAATCGTTTTATTGTGAGTTTTCTTTCATATTACTATCTAGATTCAAACTCATCAAGAGACAGTGAAACAATAAGTTTTTTTATTTTTTTATTTTTTTAGATACGTTCTGATGATGATTTCTCATATCTAATTATAAAAGGTTTTGTTCTTAAAAATAAAAAAAATTAGTCTAAAAATTCCTTAATTTTTTTCAAAATTATTCGCCACCTGAGAAAACATCTAAAGAGTAACAAGACAACTTAGTTTCGTAGCAATCATAAATGAGGTAAAATTTTTTAAAGAAATTGTTTTTGACTGCAGAAGAATGTCTCTCCAAATAAATCCCAAATGGACAAAAAAATTATTTGGGCCAAAATGCATCCAACTCACTTTCCCAATCCATCAAAATGCTTCCAAACATTCCATTAGGGGCCTCTTTCAAGCCCACCTAACCCAAATTCGCTGAATTTTGTCAGAGATACTGTGTTTTATTACGAAGTGAAAAGATTTTCTTAGCTCGCCATCTAGCACATAACTAGTATTTAGCTCACGGTTTACTTAAATTTTTATTTTTTAAAATATATATATATATATGTTATTTTATGTGTTTTTTACATAAAAAATAAAATATGAATTAAAATTTTTATTAAGATATTAAATAAATTAATAATCATCTATTTAAATAAAAAAAAAATAACAATAATAACTTAAAGATAATAAATGTAGATGACGATGAAGATGTTTAATCTTGTAAAATAAAATATTTATCCAATTATATTTATTAAATTAATTTATTAAAATTAATAAAAATAAAAACACAAAATAAATTGAAAAAAATATTTTATACAGGATCAAACATATTGCAAGTATTATCTAAAAATAAATTTATTTTATTTCTAAAAATAAATTTATTTTTTATTGAAAAAATAAATTAAAATAATCCCTTAAAAAACAACACAAATAATTTAAAAAATATATATTACAAAAAGTATGCAAAACTCATGATATAAGTTATTAAATTGAGATGAACAGGTTGAAAAAAATTAAAAATAATTATAAAATTATTTTAAAAATAAAATGAAATGATATGAAATGAAATGATAAAATAAAAAAAAATAAGTAAAAAAAGATATTGAATCACATTATTACAAATAAAAAAATTATAAAATTTAATTTTTAATAAAAAATAAAAATATCTAAAAACTAATTATTTAGTTTTGGATGACGTATCATATGACGTCTACCTGTCCCAAACACAGCTTACTCGTTGGAGCAACAATAAACATACTCCAACACTGTTTTTAATAAAAAATAATTATGTAATATAAAAATACTAAAACACCTCTATGCCTATGAAAATTAAAAAATAATGTGAAAATTACAAAACCGGATATTTTTCGACGGGCCATCACGAGCAGAACTGAGTGGATATTGGAAACGTGTCTGATGCATGTTTTACATAGGTCTAGGCTGAAACTATCTCGTAGTAAGTGGATATGATTAAGCCTTTGGAGTCATTGAACTGAAACAAATAATTGTGTGCTGTATGTTCAATAGGTAAATTACTTTGTTTCAGAAGCAGCTGTGGAACTGAAATACCTGTAAGACAAGACAAAAACAAAAAACTCAATTTGCATCTAGATCTCTCAATTTGCCTGAAGTTTTCATTTTATGAACCCACGCATGCATAATTCATAGTCGCATTAATGATTTCTTTTGTATCGCCAATCTTGTTTAAGGTTTCTTCCTAAAAATAAACCTACGATCCTGTGTGCAGTAGCATAGGATTTAACCGAGCACAGTTTGAATTACACCCATCAAAAGAAGAATGGATGGCTCTTGGTGGGTGGGATTAAGCCTGAAGACGTCATTGAAGCTCTTTCTATCCTCAAACCTCACGGTATTGTTAGCAGTGGTGTTCGTGGCTGTATGACATTAGTTAGGATCAATCATGAATAGTGTCGTTTATGGATGCTGTAGTGATTGGTCATGAGTAAAAAGAATTCGTTCCTGATTGCCTGACTTGAAATCTGATGTGCATTGAGCCATTATTACCATGAGATCCACGGAGTTCATTTATTTGAGGTGAACGGTGTGAATGTGGCATAGGTCAGTCCGAGGCTGAAATCCACTCTTTTGAGAGGCAGCTCGAAGTGTATTTTCTGCATATTTAGTGGTAAGATTTTTTTTCCCTTGGTATTAGTAACTCGCGCCTATGTTTCCAGCACAAACAAGTTTTCATGAGACTTTTTTTCTACTTCCAACTCCTGACGCGGATTGAAGACACAATAAGAGGATTTACCACTGTTTTTTCATCTTGAAATTATAAAAGACTCATCTTCTACCAATTCTATAAATAGAATGTAATTTTGGTTGAACCAATGACTAGCAACTAACAAGAAATCACTCCCGCAAAAACATTTCCCTATGACCGGGATTTTAGTAGGAGGCGGCATCCCCTCTTAGTTTTGAGTAGGTGGAACCATTCTGTTTTGGTTCTTCTCCTGACCGGGTGATCCAGGAATTTCCCTATGATTTTATCAACTAATATTTCGATATAGAAAGATCTCCTTATTTCTTCACCGCGGATTCTTGCGTCATTTTCTTGAAAAGATATTATATCACCGTGGGACACTTTCAAATGAGTAATGCTTACCATTCTATTATTCACACAAACCCTTCGATGACTTATCAGCTAAGCTGCCTTGCTTGGGGAATACTTCCACAAAAAATGGAGACGAACCAGAATAACGTCCAATGTTTTGTTGATGTGGCAGAATATATTTCGTTCCAATGAGGTATCAAGGATTAGGAGGATACTTGATGATTCTTTTAACTGAAGGTGAGCCCGACCTCCATTTTTTTTTTTATCCATCTCAATATCAGAAATTCCTTGAATCCTGAGTTGGTGGTTAGTGCATAAGGGAACAAGGGAGGCAACAAGCCAAAAGATATAGATTTTCTATCACAATACATCATATAGTAGTAAACTTTCCGTGTCCATGTTGCAGCATAACTGGCCCAGATTAACCATCTGCGACACCTATTATCAAATAAGAAAGAGAAAAAAATGCGGGGGAGAATGGTTGTCCCCAATGACTGAAGACAATGTCGACAACTTGTCAGAAGTTAAAATGAATGGTCACAAAGAATCTTGGCTTGGTTGGCTTCACCTTGATGCCTAGAAACATATGGCTTCTTCACTCTGTTTTCTCTGGTCCATAGAGCTTGGGATCTGTTTGATAATATAAAACATCCCCAGCGTCACTAACATAGTGATCTTGTTTCATGCTTCTTATAAGTGTTCCCAGCAAGTAGAACGGAAGACGTCCAGATTTCTTTGGTTCTCGGTAGTACTTCCCGAGTACAGGCTTAGCTGCTTCTGTCTGTAAGATCAAAATGAACAATCATTACAATAGATCCAGAAGAAAGTGAACCACCTAAACAAACATAATATAGTATAATTTCACTTACTGCTTCGACTAAGTGGTAGTGGGGGATTTGAGGGAAGAGATGATGAATCACATGGGTCCCGATATCATGGTGGATGTTGTTAATCCATCCATAGTCACGGTCAAGGGTTGTAAGGCCTCCTCTCAGATAGCTCCATTCCTATTGGCAGCCAGAAAGTATAGAATATAGATATTAGTTTAGGAAATTTAACACCACTAGCTTTCATATCTAGTGGAAAAAATCGACAATTTGGTAGGAGAAGAAAGATGACTGGTGAATATTGACAAGAAATGTAAGACCAAGGCTAAGGAGATTCATCTGCCAACCTTTCCGCGATACCAAGGAAGTTTCTCATCATGTCCATGGTGATGCAAGTAAGTGACCAAGTCCAACCACATGACAAAAATCTGCATTTATAAGCAAATTCGATCGTATGAATATAGGCACTAAAGAATAATTGTGTTATAGAAATTATAAAAAATGGTAAAGAGATAGGTAAACCAAGAACTAAACCTACCCAATAGGGAATGCCATAGAGTTTAAGCATTTGGACAGGACCCATTACAAAGGATAAACAAGCAACCAATGCTGCCATTGCAGTCCAGCAGGCAGTTGAGGTAATAACATCTTTCCTCTCATTTGGGGCAAACAAATCACTGTCTGGATGGAAATGAGAGCCCTTCTTTCCTGGACTTCTACTCCACTGTAAGGTCATTGAAACCCGTATTATGTAACAGTTATCAGTCCATCAAAAACTCTCCTAAGGTTAATCTTTAGATTTGGTTAACTAAGATGCTAAAGGCTTACCAGATAAACAGGGAAAGCAAGCATAGGGAAAGGCAAAGTGAATCTCAATGTTCTTGTGACATTATCCAAACTCTTGTATATTTTCTCAGGCAACTGCAATAACAAAGAGTATACATCAATGAGTTCCAAGTTTGAAAGAAGAGAAACCAGATTGCTTGAAACAAAGAGGTCACTGTTCACAAAAACTCACTGGTTGCCACGATTCATCATTCTCAACATGTCCATGGTTTTGATGATGGGTTCTGTGGCTAATTCTCCTGTAGTGATCATCAAAGTTGCAAGCATATCAGACGGTACGAAATAGATAAATTCCATTAAAAACTAAACGTGACACTGAAATACTTGGAATTTAGCAGGATTGCAGGAACTAACCATCCATGATAAGGAACAAGGATTGAAGAATGAAGGAGATGACCCAATACACTATTCAGCTTTGGATTATTTGAGAAGCTTCCATGACCACTGCATAATTATAACGAAACACCATCCACATTAGAAACATAAAGCAAATGCAGAACTAAAACACAAGCAAAGCTGCAGATCTTTCATGTTCAGGAAAGAATTGGCCATAAAGTTCTATACTGAAAGCAAATTAAAACGGAAAATAAAAATTCAAATTCAAGAAACAGAAAAAACATGAATTTACCAATCATGGCCAAGAACAAAGAGAGCCCAGAACATGGTCCCCTGAGCAAACCAGTATAGAGGCCAAACAACCCAATTGTTGAAGCAAGCAGCAACAACAGCCAATCCACAAACCACAGCAACATCTCTCACGACATAGCTCATAGATCTCCACGGATTTTTAACCCAACAATGTTTTGGTATAGCAGCTCTTATATCAGCTAATTTGAAAGGTGGTGGAGCACTAGGGTCGAAAAATTCACCTTCATGCTCATTAACACCCTTAACGCTCTCTCTTTCTTTATCTTCCTCAATTACTGGAACACTAACCGGAATAGCAACATTCAATGCCCAGTTTCTCTGTCTAGACCAACTAGAGACCTTGAAAGAAGAACCAAGATTGTAACTTTTGGAGACTGGCGGTTGTCTAATCTTTAAAAGATTGGTAGTTTTTGATGCTAAGCCAGTTCGGCTTTGATGGTAAACTCTAGGAAGGGGTCTTAGGCCACATTCTGATAACACCCAGCTAGCCATTGAAGACCCAGAAGCAGAGAAGGCAAGTATATCCGATTCTTGCTATCTCAGTTCATACAAGAGCATAAAATGAATGGAAGCCTAGTGAAAGAAAAAGGTACAAAATTTGCAAAGTTGATGAAGAGATAACGAAAGGGCTTCTTTCCTCCACTGCCAGCTATAAAAATCTCGACTTGCGCTGCTTGTAGCTTGTCCTCTCGTCTTAATGCGTCCACGTATATATAGACACACACACAACTGTGTGGGGGTTTACTGTTTAAGGTATTATTTTATATTAAATAATAGTTGTTTTTAAAGTATTTTTTTTATAAATATATAAAAATAATATTTTTTAAATTTTATTTTTAACATTATTATAGGTATAAAATAATCTAAAAAATATATAAAATAAATAATTTTAATCCAAAAAAATTAAAGATTTCATAAAATACAGTTTCTACCTAAAAAAAGTTAAAAAACTAGGTTAAATGGATTTTTATTAAACGATGGACAGTCTTTTTTTAAAAAAAATTCCTGCATAAATATAACTTCTATGATAAAAATTATTTACAAATCTCATTTTTATATGAAAAACGAAAATACGATAATTCCTCCAATCATAGGTCCTGTAGTGTAATTGTGGCTGCCACTAATGAGCTTCTGAAACAGTGGGGTGGCGTGGGAGAACAAAACTTCAATATTGACCCGCTGTGGTCTTCTTTTATTTTTTGAGGGCAATGGAGAATCACATGTGCGAAAGGAGAAAGCAGACTGGCGTGGTCAAATCTGGAATGTTGGTAGTATATACTTATTTTTGTCAAGGTCGTCATCTCATAGAGTCAATTCATTTATTCTCATTTTCACTAGCTTTTCAACATAAATGAACTCTCTTTGATGTTTCGTTTTCTCATGTGCTTCACGCAACGGCTATTTTCTGGCACATGGTCGGCAATAGCCAGCCGGCCACTATTCGATTAGAAAGTTTTTCTTGATGACTTTTGTGTGTTCATTAGATTTTTCAGTTTGTTCTAGTTTTTCCGACAATTTAGGTCAAATAACTGGTTCGTACGTCTTAGGTTTTAGGTGTTAGGTAATGAAAGCTGGCAAGAGCAAAGAGAAGATTTCAAAATTTCAATCAACTCAAGCAAGGAATTATTCATATTCCAATCTTTTATTGTTTCACCAATTCCTCATCTACGTCATGAGTGCGAACATTAAACTTTCTGTTTTGATTTTTGTCCATGTGTTAGTGATTTTTTTTTAAAAAAAAATAGCAGGTGAGGTGAGAAAACTTTTTTATAAACTAATAAAATTGGAATTTTTTTGAGAAAAATAACACAATTTAAGAAGCTTCAGCATTACTAGGAGTTGCCCAACTCTTAAAAATACTTGCGCCTTTAATATATATAAAAGAAATTAAAGGGTTGTACTATTGGATATTTGCATATTTAATTTGTGCAACCAATGAAAATTTAAAAGGATGCGCTACTCTCCAATGATGCAACTCACTAGAAAGCAGCGCAACCTATTAAACTTTTAGTAGTAGAGCTATTCCCAGTAACACAACTACCTGAAAATTTGCTATTTCTCCAAAAAAAAAAAATCAAAACCATGCTGGTTCGCAAAAAAATTTCCTCCCTTACTATTTTTTTTTTAAAATCCATATATTACCACATAATCAACCTAGAAAATGTATAAACATCCTATCCGTAATCAACCTAGAAAATGTATAAACATCCTGCGCATACAATGCTGCAATATATTACCACATAATCAACCTAGAAAATGTATAAACATCCTATCCGGCTGCAATAGAAGTTATTTTCGGTAATTTTATCACTGCGCATACAATAGTTTCTTAGTTTGACACTTCCGAAGGATTGATTTAGGTAGAAATAAGAGGAAAAAATCATCAAAGAACAATCGCTTAGATATGGATTCATTTTAACAAGGGTACCGACCACCCTTTAAAATAATATACTACTATATCTTTCCGACCAATGAGTTTGCCCCCACAATCCCATTTTCAGCCAGCCATACAAAGGTGCTCTAAAGTGCACCAGCGCCACTCAGGAAATTAATCGAATAAAATACGGTAACTCCGATCATTCTCCACCTTTTTTTTAAAAAAAAAAAAAACTTATTGATGCTCGGAGAAAACGTGGAAACATAATGGTCAAAGAGGGCCCAGACCGTGCCCAAATGTCAACGGTTAATAATAGAATAATATACGTTTTTATAAACTACTCACCGTGCCCAAATGTCAACGGTTAATAATATAATAATATACGTTTTTATAAACTAATCCATGCAGATGAAAATAACATTCGGTGTGAAAAAGGAAAAAAGAAATAAGAAGATGCAGATGAGTTGCTTTGACTATTCAGAATATACACGAACGGATATACACGGCAAAGTACCAGTCATCAAGATATGCAAAGAAGAAAACTGGTACTGATGCCGAAAACTTTAATGGATCGTTAAGGATATGAAGCAATGGCTACCTCATTATCAACGGTGGGCTTTCTGGGAAGCCAGACGAATAATGTATCAAACCACCACTAGGTGGCAACAGATGATCATATGTTCCACCATTTGCGTTTCTCCATTTGCTTGGCAAGTTCATTAGCCATTGATGCAAAGTTTTCAGCGCCACTCTGCAACTCCGCTGTACGCTCACTGAGCCTCTGTTATGAATAATATAAACGTGAAGAAAATAAAAGACTAGGTCAAAGCAAATCACTACAAGAATTTATTCAAGGTGTATATTTACAATTAGAATGAGTGTTGATGATGGTGATTTAACAAGTCTCCTTGGGCTTCTATCGCAGGGTTCATGCCTGCTTTTAGGTTTCAGAACGCATGTTTCTAATTGTTTTGTTAAAGCCATTTCAGATGTAATTCTTTAACTGTCGTCAACGCAAGAAATTAAACTTCGACATCAAGACCAAATATACCTTGAGTACAGTTACTTAACCAGAAATTTTAACTGTAATATCCACTCCTCAGAGTTGCACAATTTGATGTGGGAAAAAAGGTTCCGTGTATTTAAGTTGGCTATGGTACCTCAAATCAATTTATTAACAATTCTCTTAACATTAAATGAGAGAATATCCAAAAATAAGCAAATGCTAACCTCAATCATATGATTTTTTCAAGCATTTAGTTCAACTATGAGATGCCATTAGATTGGGCTACGATCGCAGCCATTATCAGATGGTTCCCAAAAGGTGGGGCACTAGTTAACTGTATTGCAGGTATCATTTTATTAGGTTCGGTGCAACATGGGCTAGAACAATTCATGGATGGCTCTTAAAGGGAAGGTCAAATTGTCAAGTCAAGTGGGGCCTAAATTGTTTATCCAAGTTTGGCATGTAATGACTTGCTTTCAGATAACTTTATATCGAGGGCATAATTTCAAAATCTAGAGCCTTCTAGGCAACAAAAATTTCTTCCGGAAGACTTTTCATCCAACGAGTTCATAAAAGGGAACCAAAATTAAATCCATCACTACCTCAAGCTTCTCCTGGCGTTGTATGAGCTTATCCTTTGCACGTGCAGCTACAGCAGAGACATCCTGGAAACACAAACCACCATGTCAGAAAATATATTATCCACAAAACACCAGCATTTTAACCTTTCATGTTGAATTACCTCCTTCCTATATTTAGCCTTAATTTCATCGGCTGTTCTGAGCTTCGGCTGTGAATCAGTACTTGCACCTTCAAATAATCTTTCCCTTTCTGTTCCCCTATCTGCAGAGCAACAAAAGGAGTGGTTAGCATGAATTAGCAAGTCTACCAAAGTAGAAGATTTGGGGTACCTTTAGTATCATTCTTGCTCATCATTTCAGATGAAGATAAGACAAAAAGAGGTTCATCAATATCAATGTCATCTGCAGCAAACAGAAGCACAGTCAAGAAAAGGACCAGACAAGGAAATAGAGGAAGATTCTTGGAGCAGAGGGATACAGAACCTATACGAAGCTCCACAACTTTTTGGTCATCCACGAGGTCGATGGAAGGCTTTAAGAAAGGAGGGCTGGAAAATATGCTCTCTAAATGTGCAAAATTATTCTTACATACTTCAAAAAGATCTACATCGTGCTCTGCCATGCTCCCTTGGAACCCCTTAATCAAACCACCTAAAATTCCAGAGGAAGCACCCTGTGACCACAGAAACTATTTACACAACACCATAAAGTTTTGGGCGAAAAACAGAAAGCCTGAAATAGAAATTCAACCTGTGTTAACTTCTGATTGGGAGATAAACTGATAGTGGCATCAGCAGTAGCTGTAAGTAGTTTATCATGAAGGCTAGGCAACGACTCTGGAATCCTAGAATTACCAATTTTTTGTAAAATTGTAAACTGTCTTTCCCATCAAAGTTCCTGGTCATAGGTAAATAGATAACACACCCACAAATAAGAGTGTGGAGAAGAGAGAGAGACCTGAAGTCATTTTCACAGGCCAAAAGAGATATAGCAGCAAATTCACACCCATTTACCTATAAAACAAAAATTTATCAATCCAAGTTAGATATCTACATGCCAAAACTTTAGTTGGTTTATGGGGCTTAAATATATATCAACATTTAACAGAAAGCGAGCTAAAGTTTATGTTCCCTGGCTAACCATGCATCATTAACAAGTTCCAAATAAATGAATTTAAAGCATTACAATAATCATGGCAAGGAAGTCAAAAGTAAGAACAGATGCAAGTCATATAGAATCAATAAGTAAAAAAAGCAAACGAGTTTCTTGTACTGCCCCAAAATCTGGAAACATGAAATAGAGCCAGTATATAACACTTCCATCAACTCAAATATTTTCATATCATTCCCATCTTCTTAGTTATCAGGAGCTGTTCCAATCAGTTTGAATGTAATGCATCATTTATCACTTGATTGCTCAAGCCCGCATTTCCTTACTCTTTATACCAGGAGCCTGCAACCTATACAAGCACTAGCAATGATCTAGTCAATCACAACGCTCCGTTGACTAAATCTCAACTTATCTCCAGTCCTTACACTATAAGCATTATGGTCAATTCTGTCTTTATTATAGGCTGGAAGAATCTGTAATTTGTGGGGTTTATGATTTTTCATTTTAAAAAACGAGATATTTTGCTTCATTTCAACTGTCACTCATCTCTTGTTGGGCCAGTATGAAACACACGATCATGTCCAAGCTGGATGAAGACCTATTAAATAAAATGGCCAATATATTAATATAACCAAAACATGAAATATGTCCAAGGCTAATCATTTAGTGCCTGCTTCCAAACCTGTCTTCCCTGCCTATTCAATCTGGTTGTAGCTTTTTTCACCAGTCATTTCAAGATCTATGTCGGTGCACTTAACTCATATACATCTCATTTTAAAAAACCTAACATTCTTGTAAATTATATTTTAAGCAATTTTACAGTGGATTTTCTGTGATGCCAAAATTTATAGATCTCTCTCTCTCTAGACCAACTGTTGCAAACACCACACCAAATCAGATAGGAAAAAGTGCAGCATATCAGCAAGTTTCATGCAACTAGTCAATGAAATTTGCCTGTAAGATTTACCAAATCTAAGGTCCCATTTGGTATGACTTCTGCAAATTAATTTAGGTTATTTTTTCACTTTTCACACAGAAGAAAAATTATAAATATGTTTGGTTAGAAATAATTTTTACCTTAATTAAAAAAAAAATGTTACATAATTGATTCAAAAATTTTATTTAGTTGAAAAATAAGAATTTTGAACTTTTAACTTACTGATTCCATCTCATACCTCCTCCCTTCAAAAAAAATTGGCTTCAAGTCATTTTTCACCCATCATAATTCCAAATCAAATTATTTGTCACGAGTTATTTATGAAGGATAACTTTTGAATTATGACTTTAAGTTAATTGCAAGATTTTCTTTCTTCAATTTTCAGAAGATGGTAAAAAAAAACCAAGCGATTCAGAAGATTGTAAATCAGAATCCATGTGCTGGAAATATAACATGATGAAAATGAATTCTGGTTCCAATAAAAATAAATAAAAAAATCTAACCAGAATAATGTGCGCATTTTCAGATGAACATATTGTCTTCTCCATATTAGTCTTGAAGTTCCACCTTAGGATTGACATTAAAGAGCTTTCTCCAACCACTTCAAGATCTGGTAATGATCTGCAAACACAAATTAGCTTCTATATGAAAACTGGTTGCTTGAGATAAATGATTTACTAAGATTCATTTATGATCATTTTCCACTTAGAGTTACAGTTACCTGAGAAAGCAAATGAAAATTTGCAACATCAATTAAACAAGAGAAGAAATAATGAGTGCTTTACCTTATTTCAATGTCTCCAGTCTGATAGAGTAAAATGACCCCACAGTCTTTATCATCCTTCTTGAACTGTGTACTCCAACAGCATGGTTTCATGAGATTTACCTTTCGGATAGGATTAATGTCCACCTAAAATAAGAGAGTTTTACTAAATGGAAAGTGGAGGTACAGATGGTGAAACCAAAGACTGATGCAAAAAAGGGCACCTCATTCAAAGAGTACAAATCCAATGCATCCTCACAACAAAACAAAAGAAGAAAATTTTTGACTCTCTGCTTAAAATGGGAAGCTTTGGCAGAGGCCTCGTGGTCAACTTTAAGTGGAGCACTTTCACTGCAAGCAACATCTGGGACAGGTTTGCTTTTGGGCTCGCTTTTCTGAGATGAATTAGATACATGTTTTCCACTAGACATTTCAGAGATCATGTCATCACCTTCTGCATGGAGAAAGTTTTCAGAAATCCATACAATTCGAAGACAGCAATTAAGTGTATCCTCTGCTCAGTTGTCAAAAACACTTACCTATGATATACAGTGATGGTGAAGTCAGTTCCTTTTCAGATTTTATTGATTGGGAGCAGAGAATACCACCAGTGTTGCCATCTATGACAACAGTATGGGCATCTTTGGTCATAACAAACACTTCCAACCGTACATGATCTTCCATAGTTTTGGATTCAGTGTCCTCTCGATTATTTATTAAGTCACTAGACTCTGAAAACAATTTCACAGTCAGGGAAGTGACAGGTGAATTGGAGCCAGATAGACTGTCAGTAAGAAACAACACTGATGATGTACTAGTGTCGAGCAGGGCTACCTGAAACATCAAATTGAAACTTCAGCTCTTGAAACTAATTTGGTTGATAATTCAGCATTACCAATTAACAAAGAGAAAAAAAACTAAGCAAATTATTCCAACCTGAGCACAATGAAATCCCACAGCAAGTCTGGTTCCAAAATTTGCAAATTGCAGAGCATATATAGGAGAACTTAGGAAGGAAAATACAGCTGTACATTGAGGTCCATCCCCTTGGTCCAGAGTGTAGACTGCAAGATATTAAATGTTAAAACTATAGACTAAAAAAGAAAAGGAACTTCAATCATAGTAGGCTGATACATAATGAAAGTAAGTAACTTTCCTATCATTGCAAAAAAACAAAAACAAAAACAAAAAATAATAGGCTCTCCAATTTCTCCTGCATCAGTTGAACAATTATCACTTTTACTCATTCAACTACCCATTCAGACCAAAACCACCATCTGATAAAAAGAAATAAAAGCTCAAACCACACCAATTTTTTTAATGACTGACTGCATAGCACATGTTTGTTGTAAGACCAGTTACCAAGTTAAAAAGTAATGAACAATAAAAAGAATCTTTATAAAATAAAAACTCTCAGTTTTAATCTTTAGAAAGAAAAAAATCATAATTATCCATGAATTCTTCAAATAATAAAACTGAACTTAAAATAGAAATATGTAGCAGGGGTGCCTCAATTTCTAATCAACCAAGCTGCGCTGACTGCTGATGGTTCTGATGAACATTTAGATTAGTGAGCAAGAAGAATCAGTCTATCTTCCAATTATGAAACAGAACTTCAATCATCACGGAGAAATGTAAGACATTCTTAATAAGCTGTCCTATAAGTATTGTAAACTACATTATGGTGAAATTAGTTGGCTAAAAGTCAATACCTCAAGTCCATTCCTAGGCAACTAGGAGAGTGTAGAATGCCTCTTTCATGTTATTGAAAGATAGCACTGTTTTTCCAATACAAGTTCTGTTACAAAAGATTGTCGCAGACAAAATGGAAACATGTTGACATGACTATCAAGTGGAAGAGGACTATCAGGGAAATAATACTTGCTTACACTGTGAAGAGCTTATTTCAGAATGGAAATCTGAAACTTAAAGGTCAAACTACAAGTTTTAGAGTGACAAAATGGAACCACAGGCAATCTGCTATACAAAACAAATGCCAGCGACATGTATCTTATATAACTTTTCAGATCGATCTAGAGTCATAAAACTAGCCTATCAATTATTATCTGATTGTTAGTAGTTCCTCAACCAAATTCTCAAACCCAAACATCTGAGAACTTTCTGCAATTTTTCTAAACTAAATTTGGAAACAAATAAATAGAGACATCTTTATACATATAAAAAGTATACATAGGGCGATACCTTCTTTTTCAGTTCCCGTCACGAACTTCAAAGTCATCTCATCAGCACTCCGTACAAGCTTATATAGACGAACCTACATACTCTCCAAGAGAGATAGAATTAGTAAAGCAGTAGACCTCAGTAGTCATAATGAAGCACTAAAAACTGATCAACTCTTACCATACCACGCTCATTGCCAATAGCTAAACTTAAGGTATCTGAGCAAAACTCCAAAGCAGATACTGATGCATTAGCATCAGCATCAGCGACATTGATACCTTTGACCTGAGCATCATTCAAATTTGGGGCTATTGATCATTAATTTTAATTCAACAAGGGATGCCATGTTTATGGAATTTGAAAATGAAACTTACAAATTTGTGAAAGTACTAACCTCAGGTCCTAAAACATAAATGAGCGCAAATGTTGGATATGTGGCATCCCATATTTTTACAGTTCCATCTTTGTAACCTGCTATATATAATCTCTCAACCTGATACTTTTCTGCATCATGAAGTTGGCTGGGAACTCCTCCAGTCAAAGGCCAATTTGTACTTCTGGGACAATGTGTTGCTTGAAGTTTTCTAGAAGAAATCTCCTAATAAGAAGAAAAAAAATGAGAAAGAAAACATTTTATTTTATTTTATTTTATTTTTGGAGGCTGAAAAACAAGTTGGTCAAAGTTTTGCAGTTGAAACAACTCATTTGTCTCCTTGGTTGTTGGAAGATTTATAGGAAAATGATTCTAGTGAAAACGATGTTGAAAAAAGAGCACAACTGGCATGTTTGGTTTCTAGAAAAGTTAGCATAAAGCAACTTTATCTTTTTCCCTATTAAAAGCAAGGTGAGACTTGAAGGAAACTAGAAACAAATTTTTTTCTTTTTTTTTTTGATAGGCAATGATGTTCTGGCAAGAATTTGAGCCAAGAGAACCTATAGTCCATGGTAGTTCAATGGGATTCCAATGAAACATTTCTTGTGGAAAAGTATTTTTTGGTTGGAACCACTTATATTCTCAATAGCCAAGCACACAAGTGAAGGAAAACCATAGAAGATTTTGAATTCCTTTTCCTGTCAAGCAAATGGAATCTATCCATAGCCTCTGGGCTGTGATTAAAAAGAAGGAATGAAAGAAAAACCTACAAAATACCTCAGAAAGAGCCTTGGAGAACTTCCCATCTCTAAAGACCAGACCAAGTTTTGCCAGAGTTAATTGTGGTTCAATAGTAGGTATGACCATAGGGTACTGCATAGAAGAAACATAATTCCTTTTCTCCACCAGGGATATTGAGGAAGACAAGCCAGCATCATTATAAAGATTCAGCTGTCCAGGATTCGTTAATATCATAGTGCTAGAAGTTCCCATAACACCACTACTTGGTAAAAGAACCATATCAGCAAAAGAACCATTAAGAGTAAGATCAACACGCCTGGTGCATTTTAAACTTTCTATCCCAGAAGACCAATCAAGGCTCAAAATCTGTATAACATAGAGATGTGTTAATACAAAGTGGGCCCCATCTAGACTTAAATATTGAAAAGAAAGACTGGCAGATCAGTTTTTCATCTGATTATGGATTTTAAGTCACTAAATTCTCGCAAACTCTAATATGGTATAATAATACATAAAAATCTAACACCCTAGTGAAAAAGGAGACTAGCAGTGCTAAGCCAATTTTAGCTTCTTTTTTAAAAGAGATACTTTCAGTCAAAAAATACCCTTCCTCATCTCTGATGTCTTTAGGTATTAATGATATACTATGCAATTATTTTTTTTCCTTTCTATGGAGAAAATAAAAAAGCTCTTATCTCACTTCATTCATGAAATGTTTCTTAAATCCCCAGTTGGGTGAGATAGGGTACCATGATAGGTTTTCATCCATTGGTATGAGAAAACAAATATGAAAGAAAAAAACTAAACTGTAAGAAATTAATCCTAGTTAGAAAGCACACCGTTAGAGCTTCTTCAGATCCAATTGCATCACCACCATAAACAAATAGACAGCCATGACAGTCATTATGCGATCTGTGTGCAGACCAATGCAAGACAATGACAGGGAGTCTCCTGTCGCCTGTGGATAACAGCAGCTTAACAACATCATTTGATGATTTTTCAGCATGCATATCTTTAGCAGAAGTAGTACTTGATAGGTTCCACAACAATATATCTCCATCAACATAACCAACAGCAAGAACTGACCCATCAGTAGATGCCCAACAGAGGGCAGCTATCTCTTTCTCCAATGGCTGATAGTCTGATATATCATCAGAAAGCTCAGGTCTGGTGTCTTTGTGAGAATCAGTTGTTATTTTACATTTCAATTCAAGATCTTTATTCCCTTTAACTAGAACAACTTTATCTTCAGAGACAGACCAGATAATAATCAATCCATCCTCATATGCAATCAACACTCTGGAAAAAGACAGATTATTTGAAATGCGTGAGAACAGCATAAAAGAATTAGGTGCATTATAATACACCTATTCCCTTATTTTATATGGATCTAAAACTCGTATGGTTAGATACATGCACACAACTTCAAGAGAAGAAGGATTAATTTAATCTAACGAAGCATACCCATCTCTTTCCATATTTGCAAGTGTCTGATTCTACATTTTAGGAAACATTTTTGGGTGCTAGTGTTGATAAAAGCACAAGCATAATTACTAAGTTACCAACCCTTACAGATGGTCCAGAGGCCGGTATCCAGTCCACATGCCTCTAGAAGCAGAGAATTACAATTTATGAATAGAAATAAGTCAGCCGCTGGTGCATAGTAGATAAATCATAACCACCAACTCAACATATTGAGATGCATGAGAAGAAAACCAATATTTTTTTAAGAATGAAAAGAAAAGAAAAAACATGAGAGAGGAAACTTAAGCAAATCTTGTCTTACTTGTTTCCTTGAGAAGAAGGTTGGGGTAGAACTCCTACAACAGAGCGATTTTTAGGCGATGACATCCCAGATGCATCTGCAAAATGAAGCAAACGTTTGGCACCACATGGTAGCACAGAAATAAATAGGTCAAAAGCACATAAAGTAAAGAGAGATGGAGATATAAGGGATGGGGGGGATGGGGGGTTGGGGGGGAGGTCAAGGCAAAAAACAAATTAACACGACACCAGTCACTTTGCAACTGTGCTAAACCATAATCATCTACCCAAAAAGAAACTAAAACAAAAGGTGATCCTTCAACAAGGGATGCGGTAGCAGTAAATAAAAAAAACTAATGCAAAAGAGGTTTGAAGAGAAAATGTTCACTTAAACCTTATCAAACCGAACTTAAAATGAAATCATTACCAGCAGCTACATCTGCAGGAACATGGTATGGCATTGGTACAAGTTTAACTTCTTCAGCATCATACTTTAACACATACACCATCCCGTACTCATCTCCAACATACATGTAACTTGAGCAAGAAATAACAGAGAATGCAGTTATGTTGGACTCCAATTGTAAAGAGGAAGCAATCTGTCTTTGCTCTAAATCCCAAACCTGCCAATATTGATAACCTATTAATACACAAGCTATATGATTCCTAGTACGAGATCAGATTTCAACATAAGCTTGCATAGCTACAGTAATCATACCTGGATCTCATTTTCATTTGACACGCTTACTAGGAAACCTTGATTTTGTAGAAACTGTCAAGAGATGCAAAAAATGATCGGACATTCTCTGACATTCGATAAATAAAATAAAAGGGATGGCAAATAGCTTTGTTGAAGCATATAAAAATCACCAGTTTCCAAAGATCAAAATATTCAAAAAGCTTACAGCAGGCAACACATTGTACAAATTTATTAATCATGCCCCTTCTATCATATTTGAATAACCAAATTACAAAATATGTAGAAACAAGTAATCAGCATGTACGAGAAAGAAATGGGGGGAGATTTTGATGAAGAAAAGGGAAAAAAGTGTCTACACACGTATATTCTAGTGGAATTCTGTTAAGCTTTAAACAATCAAGTGTGCATATGAACTGATATCATAAATTACCAAAGAAAAGAATTAGGAATGCATCAATCAAAATGAAACGACAGGGGGAGAAGAAGCGACAAAAAGGTGCAATTTACTCTCCACATTTGAACTTACAAACCTCCAAGTATTTAAAGGGTAATTGCTTTGGAGAGACAAGAAGCCCTTCAATGTTATTACCACCAATCACTTTTATTCTGCCATCCCTGCACCAATTAAAGAAACGGGGGGGGGGGGGGGGGGGGGGAGTCAGTAAGAAACCTCGTGTTGATTCCTTCTAATGCCTGAATTTTAACTTTTCCAGCTTCTCTGCCAATCACTCGATATTCAAAATACGGTAAATGCAAGACATTTCATACAGTAAATCAAAACTGTCAGTTCGCAAAACAGCATCAAACATACTTACTTAATAGAAACTGGAACAATTAAAGTAATCGCGCAATTACCGATTGTTACGACTTCGAGAAAAAAAAAAAAAAAAACGTAGACTCACAGTGTTCCAATTGCTAAAAGGCTTTGAATGTGATCAAAAGCTAAAATAGAAGCAGTAGAAGGGATCCCATAGTGAAGAGCAATCCGTGGATTTATATCTTTAGGTGTCAATACTCCCTTTGACACATTATCCTGCACCTGATTAAATTAGCATGCATAAACCGAGTCGTTAATTCCAATAATTAGCACTTATCCAATAAACTAAGTAGCTTAAAAATTGAATTTGCGCGCGAATTTCTATGATTGCATGGATGACACTTCCTTTGATTGACGAAGTTAATATATGCATCGAAGGATTAAGTTGCTAAATCAGAGCAAAATTTTGTTTAGCAACCTGGTTTATTGTAAAAGTAAAAAAGAAATCAGTACCTCCGCGGGTGGTGGTGGTGGTTGTGGTTGTGGTTGCGGTGGTTGTTGTTGCTGAGGCGGAGGTGATTGTTGTTGTGCGGTGTTTCTTTGAAAGAATTTGGAAAACATGGTGGATCGACGAGGGAGCTGATCTCTCTTCGTTTCGAATTCAAATTATCATGTACTAATATGACGATCAGAAGATTTTCATCGGTTTTTTTTTTCCTACTACGATGAACGGTCACACGGAGCCGATGACTGGTTGGTCTGTTTGCTTCTTTCTTAGGCGAACTTTTGCCTCGTAGGAGAACGGAGGACGACAGCTATTTCTCCGTGATTAATTTTGTGCTACATGGCATACATTATCTCGGAATTTTGCAAAAACAAAGTGGACATCACAGGATAATCTTACTACGTGAATGGTAAAACTGATGAAAGTAGGTTTTTCTTATTTATTAAGATTGATGGGAGTAATTGATCGAAGACGAAATGTAAATTGGAATGGAATTCATCTGGAAAAAAAAAGTGTAGAATGAAATTAATGTGGAACGAAGGATTTAGTGTGTGCAATTAAAATTGGTTGGTTTGACTGATGGTTGTAGAGACATTTATTTTCTAAAATATTATTTTACTTTAAAATATATAAAAATAATATTTTTTATATTTTAAAATTTATTTTTATATTAACATATCAAAATAATCTAAAAATATATAAAAATTTAATTTAAAATAAAAAAATATTTGTTTTAAAAAACATTTTTATTATTTTTACGTTTTAACGCCATTTTCATGTGATAAAAACATGTTTATCTAGAGATTATCCAAGTCAGTTAACGACACGTGGCATAGCTATAAGAGGATGTCACTGGAAAGAAAAAAGAATAATGCTATCTCGAGTCTTGGCGACTAGTCCCCGTTATTAGTATATCCTCGAAACTCCCAGAACCATACAAGAAACAGGAAGGATGGAGAGAGTAACATAGCATTGAGCATTACACCCATAGATACATGCATGCATTTGAAACGTTTCCATGTTTTGTTTGGGTTTGTAATGTTTGTTTTTGTATTTAAAAAAAATAAATTTTTTATTTTTTAAAATTAATATTTTTTTGATATTTTCAAATGCATTGTTAAAAATAATTTTTAAAAAAATATTATTTTAATATATTTTTAAATAAAAAATACTTTAAAAAACAAGTATAATTATACTTTCAATGAACCCTGACATGATATCATTTTTTTGGTTATCATTATAACGTTTTAAAATAATAGTAGAAAAACCCTTTCACATAAATAGGCGTTCCGTCCATAGGAAAACAAGGGAGAAGGCTGCATCCTCTGGTCTCACATTAGCTTAGGTGGAGATAAATATGTGATTTGTACAATCTCTAGATACTTTCTTTTATGTAACTCGCATGTGATATTTTATCATCGCCGGGTCAGATATCTAGGGAGAGCATTGGGCCTTCTACCCTCTTGAAAAGATAGGCCTGGTAGTTAGGCTAGATTTGGGCCATTACTACAGCCTGTTTACGGAGCCCAACTCATAATCTCTCACTTATGAGACCAAGGTGAAGTCATTTTTTTTAAAGGTGTTTGATGTTTACATGCTGTGGTGGTTAAACTATTATTTATGTAAATTTTTTATTTTTTAAAAAAATTAATTTTTAATTTTAATTATTTTAAAATATTGATGTTAAAAATAAATTTTAATTATAAAAAAATATTATTTTAATACTTTTCTAAATAAAAATAATTTTAAAAATAACTTTTATCAACTTCTTAAATAATCTATTTATATCGTAGATTTGCACAAGCTTGTGCTGAATATTTAGGCTTTTATCATCAATTTCAAATTTTGACCATCAAGTTTACACAAATCTTTTTCCTAGAAATTATACTCGTACTAAAATAAAATATTGTTTTCACGCAGAAATAGCAAAATTATAGATTTTGCTAAACTTTTTACTATAGTGGTTAAAAAATTATATTTTTTTCAGAAAAAAAATTTTATATTTTTTTTCTCCTTATATTTGATATTTTTATCATTTTATACTTAGCATGTTTATCACAATTTTTCATTACCTTTATTTTTTAATATTTTTTTGGTTTTTCTCCTTTTTCCTTATACTTTTTTTTTGGAAAAATACTATTTTTTATTTTTTACACTTTGAATAGCTATCACTCTACACTTCTTCTATTTATATCTTTCTTTCTAATCTTATCTTCATTCTTCTGTATTTTTTTTAAAATTATATTTTTTTAAAAAATTATTATACAAAGAATAAGGAAATAATATTTTATTGTAGTAATTATAATATTATTTTATTTTTTTACTACGCAAAAAACTAGCTTAAGATCTTTTATATCTTTATCAACATATGTGAATTTTTGCTATATATTTATTATATATAAATATCGGATCTTTTATATCTTTATCAACATATGTGAGTTTTTACTATATATTTATTATATATAAATATCGAATTTTTGATTTATAATTATATTTTTTATTTAATATAAAAAAACATGATAATAATATCTATATATTAATTCTCATACATTAAAAAAAAATCACCCTGCAACAAGACAAGTTGAATAGTTAAAAATCATTTTAGATTTCTTTAATAAAGTTAAGTATAATATCTATATATTAATTCTCATACATTTAAAAAAAAAAATCACCCTGTAACAAGACAAGTTGAATAGTTAAAAATTATTTTAGATTTCTTTAATAAAGTAAAGCGAAATTTTTAAACTATAAGCTTTTAGAAAATTGAGAGAATTAAAGGGAGTAAGAGTAATAATTTTGTAGTGTGGATTTTAATTGTTGATCGGCACAAACATATGGAAGAAAAACTATATAAATTATAATAATTTTTAATTTATTCTTTGATGTTTTTTTTTCAGGTTAATATGAATATTTAGACTAATTTATGTATATTTTAACTAATTTTATAGATATTAAAATTAATAATTATATAAATATCTAATAAATTAAAATTTATACTAATAATTTTTAAAAAATAAATTTAAAAGATGATCACTACTCTTGCACTAGCCTCATTGTTATTTGATTGCCTTCACAGTTGACATTTCTTTGTGATTCATACATACGTCACCTTATTTTATTGATCACTACCGAAACACTTGGAGGCCAATCCGATATGTTCTGGCAAACCCCATATAAAAATCAACAATCCTCTGTTATCATCAGCTCTTAATTATGGACGCTATAGTCCATGCAGCTCGTTTGAAGTGTGTGCGTGCGTGGCTAAGAAACTGACACAGTAATTCCTTTGTTGAAGCTCTGTGCCAAACCTTGATCGCCATTGCCTTACCCTGGAAAGAAAGGGATTTGCCACCCAAAAGAAGCAAAGTGAGCAAGTACACGATCTTATGATGTTGTTGTACTTACTACTACTAGCTAGTTTCCTTGGCATTTACTTTTCTCAAACATAAAGTTACTAATAATTCAAATTTGGTTTGCCTCAGGATTAAAATCATCATTAGTGGAGCCTTAATAATTCATCAACTGACTCAGGGTGGTTGTTGGTGACAAAGAAAGATCACATGCTGCTCACCAAGGGGGTAAAGTGAAGGGTAGAAGCTCAGCGTTTATAAATATAGAAGATAATTAACTAGCACCAACTTTAAACGTTGACATTTGGAATCATGATTTGATGAAGTCTGACTAGATGACCACCGTTATGATTTTGAAATACAGAAGTTCGCAACAAAACTCTACTGAAAGTCCCACGATCTGCAAATGAACTAGAAATCTTCCCACGCTGTTGTATCTACAGACTCTAAACTGAGAAAATGAAGGTGTTTGGATCGAACAAACGTAGTTATGATCGTCTCTGGTGTGGGTCTTACTATTCTAACCTGGGGCGGTAGAAGAAGAGAAATCTAACTAGAACCGTGGATATAATTTATTTATTTTTATCATATGCTGTGGATAATTAATTGATTAGTCATCATCTTGATTATTATTATTGAAGTTGCGCATTTTAAGAACGTCGTCTTGTTCTAAATATACTGGTGTTCCAGAAAGAGAAAAGGAAACTAAACAAGACTAAACCGTTCTATCCTCAATTATTAATAATCTGTCCGTGTGTTCTGATCATCCATTACAATCATCTTTTTGGCCTGCTATTCTGGTCTTCAGGTGGTCCAAGGATATCTGTGCTTCCACATTGCTGTCTAAAAGCTCTTTCAGAGTAACCCCACATAATAGAAAACATTAGAGTTCAGTTTAATCCTTTTGCATGGTACCATAGGACCACCGTTGTGTCGCTAAATAATCAGGAAATAAGCTAAGATATTGCCCCAACATAGCTGCGGATTTTAAATCTCCATTTAACGTCATCTCATTTTTCATTTGTATCAGGAAAGAAGATTGAGAAATTAGTTTTTTTAAGAATTTCCATCTATGTAAATTATTAGCAGTAGCAACAATACAGAACCTAGTAATTCTTTATCAACATCATAAATTTCCCTATTAATTCTTGATCTACTGAGTTGGTCCTTCGATTCTATGCTCTCTAGAATTGTATTGGCCTCAAACAGCTTAATTTACGTTCAAGCATCCATGCCAAGATCTAGTAGACTATAACATCTGGTCAGTCATAATTAAAACCTATATGTGTTCCCATATTCGCCTATTATTTGGTAGACAAAGACCAACTAGGCAAACTTTGAATTCACTTCTCTCTTTGTTTCATTCTCTCTTATGTTTTTTGGAACAAGATGAGGAAAGTAGTTGGCAAAAGGGATAGAGAGAAAAAAAAAAAAAACTGAGAGAGACAACTCTCCATCCACCAAAAGCCTTCTTAACCAGTTACTTGAAGAAAAACTCGTCTCACCAAATCCAATATTAATCTAACAAAGAAACTAATACAATGTAAGTCTTTCTCTTTCTATTTGTCTCTATCTTATCTTATTTAGCTCCGTGCCTCTCTATATTTCCATGTCTCTCCCTTCTCTCATCTCACCATTCTTCTCATGCAGCCATCAAGAAGGAAGTCACCTCTCCTCTCCTCGGTAACCGTAACCATGAAGCTCAGGAAGAACAGCAATCTCTCGGTATTTGTTGTCGTATCCTCTGTATTTCTCTTCGGTGTCTTCATGTACAATGAGGACGTGAAATTCATTGCTGAGTTCCCTTTTTCATGGCCTAAATCTCAAGAAGAGCCATCAAAAGGAGCCACCCCAATTCAAGAAACCCTCGAGAAGGTCCAAGAATTCCCCGCTTCTGTTGGTTCAAGAACTTCATTGGAAGAACCTCAAGTTGATCAGGGCCCTGAAGAAGTTCAAGAATCTGACAACTTGAAGTCTAGTGAATCAAAAGAGGACGAGGAAAAGATTGAATTGCCAATCATTGAAGAGGATGATGAAGACGTTGAATTGCCACCAGAAGAGTGTGATCTTTTCACGGGACAATGGGTTTTTGACAATGAGACACGTCCTTTGTATAAAGAAGATGAATGTGAGTTCCTTACAGCACAAGTGACTTGCATGAGGAATGGAAGAAAGGATTCTTTGTACCAGAATTGGAAATGGCAACCTAGAGATTGTTCTTTGCCAAAGTAAGCACATATTTGACCATTTCTTGAATTTTTCTTTATGGGTTTTTATTGATTTTGGTTCATCTGTTTGATGGTAGTTTTTATTTCTACGTTTAATTAAGGTTCAAGCCAAGGCTACTGCTAAACAAGTTAAGGAATAAGAGGCTTATGTTTGTTGGGGATTCATTGAATAGGAATCAATGGGAATCAATGGTTTGTTTTGTTCAATCTCTAATCCCTCCTGGAAGGAAGAGTCTGAACAAGACTGGATCTTTAGCTGTGTTCAGAATCGAGGTACTCTACCCTGCTTCGTATGCTTTTCAGTGTGAATCAGATGAACTCGTCATGCCTGGTGTTTAAAGATGTCTATAATGCATTTAGATTTTATCTTCTAAGGTGCTTATAAAAGTGAAATGCTCCCGTTGGCGCCAGTAGAATTTTCAGTTCACTTTCATATCAAGAAAAGCAAATTTCTTTTCATTTGCACAGCTTTTAATACTCTCGTACCTGTATTTCTAGGTGAGCCGAAAATGATAGTGTCTCGGAGCTACCAAATTTAACAACAATTGATCCATGTATAATTGATCGTGTAACAGTACTCCATGTGCCATTTTTATCTGGTTTTCTATTTTCCCGTCGAACTCGTGATTCCTGTATTTATTAACTTGCTAGAGAAGCATTACGTTATTTTATTATATGAATATAAGTGGCTCGATCCTACAAGGAACAGGAAAAAAAATGAGCAGACCTTCCTCGAGATAGTACTATATTATAGTATGGAATCATTGTTCTGATGTTTTTTTGGTTTTCCCGTAGGACTACAATGCGACGGTGGAGTTCTATTGGGCCCCATTTCTGGTTGAGTCAAATTCAGACGATCCAAACAGGCACAGCATCTTGAATAGGATAATCATGCCTGAATCAATTGATAAACATGGTGTTAATTGGAAAAATGTCGACTACCTGGTTTTTAACACATACATTTGGTGGATGAACACTTTCAACATGAAAGTTCTGTAAGTTACTTAACGCACTAACTAGGTGTTTTAACTCAAAATCATGCATGGGGTTGATTTATTTGTTATTTGATGATGGGACAGACGTGGCTCGTTTGATGAAGGATCCACCGAGTATGATGAGATCGAACGGCCAGTAGCGTATCGGAGAGTTTTGACTACATGGTCTAAGTGGGTGGAGAAAAATGTGGATACCAATCGTACCACTGTCTTCTTCAGCAGCATGTCTCCCCTTCATATCAAGTAATGCTCATATCTGAAATTTTGTTTCAGATCTAATCACTATAAATTTTCCCTCTTTTTTCTTATTGGGTATTGCTGTTTTCGTTTCTTAATGATTATTTGTTCATAATTGCATTCCTGTTGTCTCTTTGTCTTGTGATTTTGAGGACAAAAAACATAGAAACACTCAGGTCTTCACCATGTGTGTGTGTGTATGTGGACTGTGGGAGGCCCAACCATTTCTTTATTTCAAGTGAAAAATTGCTCAACTAGGTTTTCTTCGTTAATCAATTTGGACCGTGTGAGGCCCAACCATTTCTTTATTTCAAGTGAAAAATTGCTTAATCATTTTGGACCATAGGAGGCCCAACCAAGCACTTTAATTTAGTTCAGTTGTTGTGTTTTGTTGTGCCAAATTATTTGATTAGGTGATTTCCGGTGGGCGGAACTTGAAATTGGGCCCTGTGATCACTAATCATGATTTGACAGATTGATAATTAATTAATTAATCTCTGCTTGGCAACGGACTGTGTATAATATATTTTCCAACAAAATACTATACGTGTGTGTCTCTGTGTGTGTGTGTGATGGTTGCTTTTCGATTTTTCCAATTGATCATTTTATTTTCTCGGACAATATGACACTGATGTGAGAGAATGACAACGGAACAGGAGCTTGGACTGGGAGAATCCGGATGGCATTAAATGTGCCAAGGAGACAGCCCCGATTCTGGATGTAAACATGAAATTCAATGTGGGCACGGACCGCAGGCTTTTTGCGGTTGCAGCCAATATTACTGGATCCATGAAAGTACCTGTCCATTTTATCAACATTACCAAGCTTTCAGAGTACAGAAAAGATGCACACACTTCCGTCTACACTATCCGTCAAGGCAAAATGTTAACACCGGAGCAGCAGGCGGACCCGGCAACGTATGCCGATTGTATTCATTGGTGTCTGCCGGGGTTGCCCGACACGTGGAATGAATTCCTTTACGCACGTATAATTTCTCGCACGTGACCCCTAGGGATAGGAATTAACACGTGCGAGGCCCCTTTTTTTTCACCCTCCTCGACATTGTTTTGTTTTTCCTCTGTAATTTCTCCTCGTCTCATCTTTTTAGCTTCTCAGAGCTTCAATTATAGGTCTGAGCGGTCGTCAACATTGTTTTGGCACCTTGTTCCGCTTTATTTGACGGGGGGGGGGGGCTAGGCATGAGAAAATCCAGGTGATCGGATTCTTCATTTGTAACATTATACTACTCCTTTTTACATTATAATGCCCGTCCGGTACTTGTACAAGTCATTGCGAGAGGCTCGGCCTAAGAGCTATATCGTGCCCTGCCCTCGGAGGAAAAGGAGGTTGGGTTCCAGGCGAGCATATGCCCAATCAAGTTTAAAAATGAACAACACATGATACACGTTTGAATTGTGCAATGCACGTGTGAAATAAATAAAGAACAAGTACAAATTTCTATGTTAAGTGCAAGTGCATTCATGGCAGTATTTTTACTTTTCCATTTCTATAGGTGGTTTGTGATTTCTCAACGGTTTCTCCCATTTCCATTTTTTTTTTTTTTCCAGCACTAAATGCAACCCCCTTATTCCTTTGAACAGATGGCTATGTTGCCCATGTACTTTGGAAGGGAATCTAGGAGCACCGAAAACGAATCACCATGTGGCAGCCTCGTACAAATTAATTAGTATAAAGTCTGTCCAAGCAATCACTTTCATATAGCTAAGTAGCGCGCTTCATGCTTGAGAGTATTTATTATTATTGATGCTTCGTAATTATGTTTCTAAAAAAAAAATTAAATTTCTTAATATTTTGATATTGTTATATTGATATTAAAAATTATTATTATAATATCAAACAATATTTTATTAGATGTTATTGTGATACTTTGACAGTAATATTAGTGAGTTGTGAAAAATATAAATCGAATAAAATAAATGATTAATGATGATACATGTAACAAGTTATTTTCCTGGCTGAGAGCGTGATAAAATAATATTAAAACCAATCTTGTCTTATTTGTGATTTGCCTGCATTTTTTGAAACTTTGATTGCAGAATGACGAAACATTCCATAATGAAGAAAGGATTGTAATATTCTATATCCTACATCGATAAATATGAGAATTATAAATTATATTAAAAAAATGACTAACATATTTGAACAATAAAACAATGAACAAGAAAAACCCTTTTTATTCTCCCGAGCATGGTGCATGACAATTTTGCTTGAAAAAATGAAGGTCAGGATCTAGAGACTGGGATCGAAATTGCAAAGATTTGTTTGTCAAAACTGGCAAGTACAAATTATTTAATCTACAACACCCTCTACTAAGCATTTGTTATATTTCGTCATTTAAAAGTATCACTTGGGTTTCACTTGAGAATAAAAATTTAATAGTTGTTGTTTTAAATATTAATATTGTATAAAATAACAAATCCTAATTAAGAAATAAAATTTTTATTCAGTTTGATTTTATGTTCTTAAACTATTTTTTTGAGTTTTTAATTTGATATTTTAGTTTTTTTTTAATGTTGCAAGAGTTTATTTAGGTGTTTGTAGGAAAACAGTTGGTCTAAATTTTGATTTTCAATTAAAAAACCCATAATTTTCCAACTATTAATAAAGAGTGAAATCTAAATAAAACAATTGAAAGATAAAAAAAATATTTTTAAAAATAAATAACAAATAATCCATATCTTACATAAAAAAACTAGGGATATAGGTTTAGGATAAAGGCCAACATGAGTGGATTCTTTTTCTAAAAGCCTGAGTATACAAGGCCACCGAGGCTAGGTGTGCATGACTAGTTTTTTTCTTTAATTTTTTTTTGTTCTTCAATTATTTTTAATTTCAATTATATTATTTAACCTTAAAAAACCTTTGTTTTTTTGTTTTTTTGTATCAAGGAAAAAAATAAATTTATTAAACTTAATAAATTCTATTATTTACATTATAAATTTGATGAATTAAATTATAAATTACCGATCCAATATGTCATATCATTTAAAATCATATATATATATATATATTTAATTTTATCTATTATTTTAAAAAAAATCTTTATCCATGTTATTATATATCCAAGTAAAAAAAAGGTTAAAACAAGATAATTTAATTAAATAAAATTCATGATATAGATAATAAGTTTGGTGTGCGAAAACAACAAATAACCATGTTATTATATATCCAAGTAAAAAAAAAGTTAAAACAAGATTATTTAATTAAATGAAATTTATAATATAGATAATGAGTTTGATGTGCTGAAACAACAAATAAAAATTGATTTAATATATTATTATTTTAATATTTTTTTAAAAAAATTAATTAGTCTTGGTGCTTGGTTTTCTACATAAATAATTGGTTTCAACTTATTTTTTATATAATGATCATGATTTTAATATTTAAATCACGGGTTTAAATCAATCAAAATTAATTAAATCTATTGAATAACTCTGTCAAATTTATTTTTAAATTTATGTTCTTGGATAAAAACATGTTACGAGGCAATAACCTGGTGCCTGTAAGTAATTTTATGGTACATCATAAAAAATGAAAAATATCTTCTTAGTTATACCCTGGATCCACTTGGAATGAGACCTTGTTGATCAGATTGGAACTGCTAAATATGCTGTAAACCCAACACTACTCATGTCCGAGAACATGACTTGTTAAGAACCATTACAAGGAAAGTGAGCGAGCACTCTTTTATCAATCGAAGAAGTAGAACAACACTAAGAAACGGGGCTTTAGTTCTCCAGTACAATAAATGAGGTTTATGTTTGTGTATAAATGAAGTATTTTGTGTTTTCTTGAGCTTTGAAAGATTCATATCAAATTTCGACCTTGTAGATAGTGCTATGCCTTTGAAGAGTTATTATAGTTTATCCTTGACTAGAAAAAAAAAATATTGTTTTTTCACGTTAAGACGCTGCAAAGATGATGTATATTGAGGGTCTTATTATTTGTTAAAAGATCTCTAAATGGAAACAATATTTTTTAATTAATGTAAATATTCAAGTTAATTTATACATATCTTTGACTACTATAGATTCAAAATGTCAGGTTCTTAATAAAAAAAAAATTAAATGTCTAAGCGGCGAATTCAGAATCCGATGTCTGGGAGGACCACTGCATATTTACACTGGAACTTGTTTGAAGAGTTTCAAAGAAAAAAACAGAGTATTTTGAAATTCTTGTAAGCTTTTATGGGCCAGGGCTCCCCTTGGCCAGTTGGCTCGCCAGAAACAAAAAAACAATAGAGAAGGTGGGACTTGCTCGGCTTAACAAGAGTGTTTTGTTTACCTGCTGCGTCATTGTCGTTTACACAAAGCACCACCCAACAATAATTGTTTAGCACGGGATGCATTCCTTTGGGGTAAAATCTAGTGTATTCATCACCAACCATGTGGAATAAAACATCATATTACAGCATACGGCAAGATAGATTCAATTCATGTGTCATAATCTTTTAATAGATGATAAAATATTACTAATTAAAGTTTAAATATATTAACTCATAAACCATTAATATTTCCTAAACACACAGCACAACTAGATTGATTGATATTGATTATAATATATACTCTCTGGCTATGCTGATCACAGCTATTTTTGCATTTGATTATTGCAATGGATCGTGCATTTAGCTTGGTTGAATCTACACAGTAAGTGACAAATTCATCATGAGCTGACTTTAGAATTGTGTTAATGGACCAGCTGGCTGATGGCAGAACTATTAGGGCAGAGGTGGTGGTGTGACATATGGATATTCAATCATTTCTTTCGATACTGATGATACATCCGAACTGCTTAAAGTTTATTATTGAGAGTAACATGACAGCACTATTCGGTACTGTTAGAAAGATACTGATAAGATAATAAGATAATGTTAATTATATCTTGAAAGAGGAGTAAACAATATTTTCATTAACTTTAAATAAGATTTTTAACAAATTAGAACTACATTTAATAATTTTTTAAAATGTAGTTAAAATTATTTTGTCAAAATTTTTCTAATAGATTGAATGTGTTAGAAATAAAGTTCTAGTGTATCTTTGATGATTTATTATTTCCTGCTAATTAGATGTTTATAAAAATTTAAATTAAATTTTATAATTATTAATTAATTTGATTCAAAAATAATTTTTGAAACAGATTTTTATGTTATTTTTTAAATATGTTTTTTTCTCATAACTGTTTTAGAATTACAAAAGGACCAAAATAAGAAGCTCCTTCCTGTTGTCATCTCCTTGTACTCCATCTAACCAGTTCTAGGTTGCTGCGTTCGGGTATATTCAATGTCATTAATTCCCTGCAGATCCAACTATAAATGGAGTACTTACTACCATTACTTTCTTATGATGGTTTTCTTGTTACTTCTCTTCAAAATCTTTATGTACAGTGAGAATTTCAAGTCAGTATTTTCAGGGTCATTTTTGTTATCGAGAAATGAAGTTCATGGAATCAGAGAGAAAGATGAGGAGGTTGTATTGCCACCAAAGGACTGTGATCTTTTCACAGGGAAATGGGTTTTCGATAACGCGACTCATCCTTTGTATAAAGAGGAAGAGTGTGAGTTTCTCTCTAGGCAAGTAACTTGTTTGAGGAATGGAAGACAAGATTCCTTGTACCAGAACTGGAGATGGCAACCCAGAGATTGTTCTTTGCCCAGGTAAGTACAAGTCTTTGTACTTTTGTATGTATGTCCTGGCGAGCTTCCTTATTATATATACGCATTTGCTAAAAACAAATATCTATTGAATTTAGTATGTTTTTCTGGATCAAGGTTCAAATCAAAATTGTTGCTCGAGAAACTTCGTGGAAAGAGGCTTATGTTTGTTGGAGATTCATTGAATAGAAACCAGTGGGAATCCATGGTTTGCCTCCTTCAATCTGGTGCTCCTTTGGCCAAGAAGAGCCTGAGCGATTCTGGCTCTGCGTCTATTTTCAGGATTGAGGTATCTTTTTATCTCTTCCTTTTAACCAGTTCGCTTTAAATTTCATTAGTTTTGAATGGTGATATATAATCATGGCAATCTTAATTGAAAATCCATTCTCTCTTTCCCGTCACTTAACTTGTTCAATTAAGTCAACTCAAAGCCTATTCCTGTGATCATTAATTTCATCTTTACATGATTACCAGCAACTAATTAGTATGCACATCCATATTCAGTGTTGCATTTGCATGAAGGCCTATCAATGAAGGGACACATATTCCATTCGTCTTCCATGTCTATTGAAATCAAATGGTAGATGTATTCAATGCAATGTACACTGGTCTAATATACGTATCTCTCCTTATGTTGATTTAGGACTACAATACTACTGTTGAGTTTTATTGGGCACCATTTTTAGTTGAATCGAATTCAGATCATCCATCGAAGCACAGTATATTAGACCGCATTATCATGCCAGAATCAATCAACAAGCACGGAGACAACTGGAAAGGTGCAGACTACCTGATTTTCAACACATACATATGGTGGATGAACTCCGCTAACATGAAAGTCTTGTAAGTAAATCAGGCTTTTAGTCTTCTTAATTGCAGAAAGTATTGAAGCCTGACGTTTCCTATTTGGGATTTGATGGAACGCTGGAAGAAAGCAAGGAACATTTGACGAAGGTGTCACAGAATATGATGAGATCGAACGGACAGCAGCTTTTGGAAGAGTTCTGAGGACATGGGCCAAGTGGATTGAAGAAAATGTAGATCCTAATTTAACTTCTGTCTACTTCATCAGCATGTCCCCTATGCATTTCAGGTAAGCTAAATTCTCAAGGCTTTATGCTCATTTTCTTTTCCTGGTAGTAGTCATCGGTGAAATGATGTCTTCTAGTCTCTTAAACCACTATGATACAGTGAAAGATTTGAAATGACGTTGAATATGGATGTGCATATGCAAATGCAATATTAGGAGCTTGGATTGGAACAACCCTGACGGGGTCAAGTGTTCAAAGGAGACCGCCCCAGTTCTCAACACGACCACACCGTTGAATGTAGGCACTGATAGCCGGCTTCTTGTGGTTGAAGCAAACGTGACTCAATCGATGAAAGTGCCTGTTTACTTGCTTAACATCACCACCCTCTCAGAATACAGAAAAGATGCACATACCTCGATCTACACCACTCGTCAAGGTCAGCTGCTCACAGAAGAGCAGCAAGCCGACCCAAAGATCTATGCAGATTGTATCCATTGGTGTCTCCCCGGTTTACCAGACACTTGGAATGAGTTCCTATACACACACATAATTTCTCACACTTGACCCATTGGAATATTGCTTTCTCCAAAGGTGTAAAAACTGGACAGTCAAATTGAAAAATGGAAATTTGATAGTTCTGCTGTTATTATTATTCATTTTTCAGAGTTGTAAAATGCAGTCTGGTCTCTTCAGTTGTTTTTTAATTAACGTACACTGAAGTCAATTACCATGGTTTCTCAATCTAACAGTAAGCTCGACTATATTGTAGCATGTACATTACAGTCAGCTCTGTTGTCCAATCATACTCTATTGTAGTATCTGTAGCATCTAGCTATGATCTGAGAAAAGATAGCCTTATATTCTGCTTGCTGCAGGCTGTCAAGGATGCATCTTCATCATCCAGATCTTTCAAGGCTCACAAAACCTCACCACATCGATCATTCAAGTCACAAGGTTCGCTGCATCAATCCTTATGACTTGTTGCTTACAGTTGCCCATTTCAATATTTTAGGAGTAATTTCCCATCCTGTATATTCGGTCAACGTATATCCTCCACAATATATGTAGAAAGACGTTTACATGTTCAGTTGATCAAATATTCTTCCATAGCAAGCCGTCAACCACGTTAGCGTTGCAGAACATCTTGCTAGGCGGCGAGGATTTGGGGGGGAATAAAAATATACCAACGATCTCAAGGCAATTATCTTATTTTATTTATTGTCTACATTTTTTAAAGGGTAAAAACTCGAATAAAAAATAAAGAATAAATAGAGGAATTCATTTGAATTTATATCGTCTATATGGTTACTGGAATTAAAAAAATATAAATAATTTCTATCAAGCCAGCTCATTTGGCGGTGCAGGTTCTCAGTTCTCTGCCTCAAGTTATCAAGCCAGCTCATGTGGCGGTGTAGGTTCTCAGTTCTCTGCCTCAAGTGACGAAACGGGGAGAGAGGTTCGTGTTGGTAGATCACTTCTTAAATGCGAACCCATCCTCTAAAAAAATTGTAGGGACGTCCAGACTAATCCACTCACGTTGATAACAGTAACCATTAAAATTTTCAAGATTAAGCGCTTGCCTTGTGGGAAGCTTCATAAATTAATGTGTGAAATGGCAGTAAAGGTGTTTTTTTTATGCCATTTATTAATTAAGTGGAGAGTTTATTATCATTTGATTTGATTCATCTTTGAACTTGAAGGACTCCGATGCTGCCATAGAGTTTTACTGGGCTCCTTTTTCGGTCGAGTCCAATTCAGATGCTGTATCAAATAGGAATGGTCTATCGGACCGCATATCATGCCTGAATCAATCTCAAAACATTGAGATAACTGGAAGAGTGCCGATTACCTTATATTCAACACATATATTTGGTGGATGACGTCTACTTATACAGAAGATTGTAAGTACCAAGTCTGTTTTTCATCTTGCATCCAACTCTAGTGCATATACAGTCAATAATTTTAGCATAACCAAGAGGTTTTTTATTTTATGGTGGAGCTATGGAAAAGACGAGGAGGATCATTTGGTGAAGGCCCCATAGAGTATGATGAAGTTGAGTTGCCAATAGCATAAGAGAGAGTTTTGAGGACGGGGGCCAGATGGGTGGTGGTAAATGTTGATCCCAAGCATTCTTCTGTTTACTTCAGCAGCATGTCTCCTACCCATGTCAGGCATACCAATCTCACTCGTAGTCCTTCTTTTAGCACCAGATTGCTGTTTATTTCTTACTTTTTATGTTCATTTTTGTACCTTTTTCATCCAAAATTCATCTTGCCCTGCTTCTTCTTCACTTCTACTACTTTTTTGAATAAATTAGGCAGTATTAATTTATTTAGTAGGATTTCAATTTCAAGCTGACAATGTGCATTGAAAATGCATTAAACCAATCCTAAACAAGTCCAAGCCATTGGATGTGGGAATGAACTAGCAACTTTTGTTGATTGCAGTGAATGTGACTCGTTCAATGAAAGTACCTGTCAACTTCCTCAATGTAACCACACCCTCTTGAACATCGGAAAGATGCACTCACGTCGATTTACACAGCTGTTGAAGGTAAGTTACTCTCGCCGGCGCAAAAGTCTGGCCCACTCAATTATGCTGATTGTTTGCGCTTGTGTCTGCCTGGAGTGCCTGATACATGGAATGAGCTGCTCTACTCATATATCATCTCTCGCACTTGAGCTCAAAAGTTTTCTCTGTTAATATAATTTCTTTCGTGATGAAGGCATATAGCAACTATCTAAACCTCAGCAGCTTAGTGTTGATGTTGAATTGTTGTAATTGGAATGATGGGAAAGAAAATGAAACAGCATAACGTCCATTGGCGTAGCATTGAATATATATATATATAGGTGCGAGTTATAGCCCTTTGATTAAAAACCATTTTTTCCTCTGTTACACTTCGATAAAAGAAAAGAAAAAAATCTCATTCCTTATTAGAATTAGTTGAAAATTGAAATACAAGAGGGGAATAATAAAAATGAATGACACCTCGACTAATTAATGTATAAAAATGCCACGCCATTCACCCTCGTAACTGGTTGAAAAGCTCAATAACTGGTGGATAAGACATCTTATGAAGCATGAATGAATTCTGGGCTCTTGATCTTCCAAAATCAGTTCCTCAAGTACTTAATTCATTTCTAAAATTGATCACTGGTTATGTTAATGCATGATAATCTACATGCTCCATGAATTCTCTCAACAATAAGAAAAACAGAAAGGAAATCTGTGACTTGATTGAAATGTGTTTGTCATCAGATTGACTGTGATATATATAGTTGTTGCGTTTGGCATTTCGGGATTTGGAAGAACAATCTTTGACTCTTCTTCTTCTTGTTATCATTTTTCTAATGGTCTTCGACTCTTCTTATTTTCTATTTCCAACTCGAGGCCAACTCCATAGCCTCAAACACAGAGTCTAAAAATCCGTGCCCCAAAACTCAGGTCTGATAGAGCCCATGCACACAAAAGTAAAATTAATCTCGTAGACGATTGTCTGCCGCCATGCGAGTGTTAATTGAAAACGTTGCGGAGTGCTCTCAATACCAAAACTATAAAGTCTAGGATCGATTACGTGAGTTATATATTGTATTCTCTGAGATCAAATTTATTCTGAGCAGTGACGAAGCCAAAGACGTAGCTTCGCCCATGCGAGTGTTCTGATTCTGTTTTTGTTGGCAAATGGTGGTATTGTCCCTTTATGTTTGTGAAGGAAAATACTTGCTTGTCGTTGATAAACAAAAGGGATATACATATATCCATTTTCTATGAAATGACACTCAAACAACAATGGGTCAGTATTTTCTCTTGCAATAGTAACGATGTATCAGGAGATTTTGTTCATGCGGACGTAAATGTTGAAACAGAGGCGGTTGGTGTCATTGGGACGGAAACTCGTTGAGCCAAATAGAGGAGGAAAATGTTTCCCAGGTCTGGATAAGGAAGGAAAAGCAATACCTGTGGGTTTGGATGATGTAATCGCTGAAAAAATCAACCGGGATCAAGAACGTGTTGGTTGGGTCAGATGGAAAGGCAACGCGAAGAGGGTAGAGAAGAGAAGTATGGAGGAATAGGTGGGTGGAAGAAGTTTTGATGCTGTATATTGGTTGAAAGGTATGCACTGGGTGTAAGAATTCAGGCACTCTCGCCATATTAGGTGCAAATGGGAGTAGGTGATTTTTCCATTTCGTTGGATTGTCTCCTATTCGGATGTTTTCATGAGACTGCCTATAAGGGCTATGAATAAACAACTTGTTAAATTTTTATTTTTTCCATTGAAATTTATTGCTTGATCATGTACACATATGGCGCGCTGTTCGTGTGTGTGAAATTGGAAGCAGGTTTCATGTCCCTGTGGTATTGAGGTCATTTATGGAGTAGATATTTAGAGGGCGATCCTTTTCCTTTTATAAGCTCAATAATTTTAGTCGGTCTTTTGCTAAAGGCTCGAGAGCAGTTTGAAGTTACCGAATTCTTCAGATGGTGACCCTACAACTCCATGCATACATATCCATTTCCTCTACCAATAATGGGATTAGAAAAGGTGAGAAAGGAAAATGGGAGTCACAAAGGAACAGTGGCAGTTTGACTTGGCTTTTTGCTTATTGAATTCATTTACAGTTTACTAACCACAGACAACCTAATATTTTATATGTAGGTTTTTGATATTATTGAACTGATTTATACTGGTAGTACTCTTCTGCCCTCAGAGACAGTCAACAATGAAGCATGTTAGTGGCAACAACAGGAGATGCCAATCCTTCCCAAGTTTGATTGTTACGCTGTTCTTCTTATTTTTCCTGGGGTTTCTTCTGTATAATGACAGCATGAAGTTCAGTGCGTTACAGGTTTCAAGACCTCCTAGTCACCAAGAAATGCTGCGAGAACCTGTCAATTCCAAAGTCCCTCCAGTTCAAGAAACTCCCAGTGGGAATAAACATGACCGAGATAGGAATGCAGAGGGGGGTGAAGACGGTGATAACCAAATAATTAATCTGTCGATGACACTAGGTGGTCCAAAAATGGAGCTGCCAGCTTTTGAAAAAGAAGATGCTGATGAAAAGATAGCATTGCAACCAGAAGAGTGTGATATCTTCACAGGACATTGGGTTTTGGATAACAAGACACATCCTTTGTATAAAGAGGATGAATGTGAGTTTCTGTCAGAATGGGTGAGGTGCTTAAGGAATGGAAGGCAGGATTCTCTATATCAGAATTGGAGGTGGCAGCCCAGAGATTGTTCTTTGCCAAAGTAAGTGTACAGTAAATGGTCCAATTATATTCATTGTTACAGCTAGATTCATTCTCGGTTGGACTAATATTGCTCAATTTTTAATATTCATTACCTATCATCAACACTAGTTATTCTTTCTGATATTTTTTTCACTCAAGCAAGAGTGTGCTAAATATTTGTAATTTTGATTTCAAGGTTTGAACCAAAACTGTTGCTGGAGAAATTGAAGGGGAAAAGGCTTATGTTTGTTGGAGATTCCATCCACTTTAACCAGTGGCAATCCTTGATTTGTTTGGTTCAATCTGCCATTCCACCAGGAAAGAAGAGCTTGGACTATGCAAGCTACATCACAGTTTTCAAAATTGAGGTATCCCTCTGCTTCATACTATGCATAATCGGAAAGAAAGAACAAGAGTGAAAAATCTGAATGAGTGACATTATGAACATATTGCACACACTATTCAACTTTTCACAAGCCCCAGGTTTTTTCTACTGGCAACCAAGATTCTATGTCTCACTTTGAATTTCAAACTTGCCAGGTCAACTACCTCTTAGATTTATGTTGGATACAGCTTTCAGTTGTTAGCGATAATTTTAGTAGCCTTGAAGATCATGGAAAACCCTTGGTATCTCATATATTCAAGTTATGTCCATTTTCTACAAGCATTCATATCCGCCAAGCTACAATGAACAATCGGCATGTCCTTTTGTAGCCCATCTGTTTTTGGCTGGAAAAATTGAGTTTCCACTACAACAATATCTAAGAAAAACGGTAGCTGACCCAATTTCAGAATTATGACATTCATCATTTTCATCACATCATCAGATTCAAAGATAAACCGCACTTGCCAACCAAAAATCAAAGATGCATTGAACAAGTAGTGAAGGACTTGCTTATGATTAGCCCACGTGGTTTTACTTGAATTTCCACTTTCCAGGACTATAATGCCACGCTAGAATTTTACTGGGCACCATTTCTAGTTGAGTCCAATTCAGACCCTCCAACAATGAGAGATGGCAAATCAGACGCCATTATAATGCCTGAATCAATATCCAAACATGGACGTAACTGGAAAGATGTGGACTACCTAATCTTTAACACATATAACTGGTGGCTCAAGTATCCCACAATGAAAGTTTTGTAAGTACTCGGCGAATTTTACTTCTTTTTTTCTTTTTTGAAACTTGTATATATGGTACAAATTTTATGGCATGGTCATGATCATAAGGTTAACTTTTCCTTTCTGGTTTGTGGTAAAGACGAGGATCCTTCGATGAAGGGACCACGGAGTATGATGAGATCGAACGGCATATAGCATATGAGAGAGTTTTGAGGACTTGGGCCAAGTGGGTGGAAGAAAATGTTGATCCCACTCGCACCTCAATTTTCTATAGCAGCTTGTTTCCTCAACACTTCAGGTACAAAATCCAACCAAATTTACTTTCTTGTGCAGTTGATCTTTGTCGTATCATCCTCCTAGTAGTTAGCACTTGGTAACACCACGACAAGGAAGAAGAGCACGTCTCAACTACTCTATGAAAACCTTGAAACAACTGCTCCAACTAACACTTCCTTGCACGAGTTAGTCAAACCAAGCATTAATAGCAATTTCTTTTAAGAATTTTTCGTGAGATTAACAGATAATAATTTATGCATGTAATAATTCACTTCTCTCTTTACACTACAGTGCTAGGATTATGTACAAGTAGTCACTTATTAAGCACTTATTTGTTAAGAGTATAGAAGGAAGTGATTTCTTAATCATACTCTGTGTAGTATAAATCTTCGGAATTACATGATGAAAGTGAGAATTTGGATGCAAATGCATGAACAGGAGCTCAGACTGGAACGATCCAGATGGAGTTAACTGTGCCAAAGAGACCATGCCAATACTAAGCAGGACGGCACCAGTGAATGTGAGCGCAGACAGGCAAGTTTTTGCAATAGCAGCGAATGTTACTCGGTCAATGAAAGTGCCAGTTCACTTCCTCAATGTAACCACCCTCTCTGAGTACAGGAAAGACGCACACACTTCTGTTTACACGGCTCGTGATGGTAAATTACTTTCGCCGGAGCAAAGGTCCAATCCAGGCATACATGCAGATTGTCTCCATTGGTGTCTTCCTGGAGTGCCTGATACGTGGAATGAATTGCTTTATGCGCGAATCATAGCACTCTCTTGACTTCAAATTCTTTATTTTTTTAGGCAAGAATACGAGTTCGTAATTGAATTTTATGAAAAACAATGATATGAAGCTCTTATAACAATTTGAAGATCCATGGCTTCATCAACATCATTATCATCATATGACACGCAAGAAACTCGTGTTTAAACCCAATTCTAACACGAGTTAGATTGGTACAGTGTTATGGGTTCAACACAATAAGTAGTTGGCAAATTAATTTTTACGACAATTTTATTTCTCGCTGTTGTTTCGGAGAGTTTTTATTTTTAATTTTTTTAAAGACTCGGAGAGTTTCGATAGTAATAGTAAAAGGAGAGGATTCAAATCCATTTAAAAAAAAGTATGAGATAAATGAAACATCCAAAGAGACAGGGTTTATCCAGCTTTTTGAATGATATCATCAATTGGGTGCTAATAATGTGGTGGAAGAGATAAACACGGAGAAGATCAACGTTAATTTAGCGGTGAATCCTAGAAAGGACGAGGTATTTGAAAAAAATCAGAGTCGATCACTACGAAGGACTGGGCTTCAAATATTTTCTATTGGATGAGTAAAAGGCCACACTGACGCCAATCGCCTGGAAAGCATCGACATTTACATCGATCATTACAGATGATGCCAGAACTGCAAACCACTGAAGATTCCAAGATAGAAGCAAGGAATTTTTCATTGGGCCATCTACCTGAGTTCATATAATTAAAATCATTTTTCAATCCTTCTGTACAATGTAGCAGCTCTACCAGACACTTCCTTAGTGATCCTAGAAAGATGGATTGAACACTGCTACCTCTTGTAGGAGTCCATCTTCCACTCTCAAGGGCCTCCTTATAGGTCAATGCTAGCAGCAAACAGAACATTATTTCAGTATTGTTATGCACGTAGACTTCGAAAGCGTTATGCACGTAGGCCTCGTTTATTTTATCACTACCGCTCTTTTTCGTGTTATTGAGTATCTGGTGTGGTTCGGCTTAAAGCTTTTAGGCGTGTTTGGAAACTATCTTCCTTTAAAAATTAAACAAAATAATAATAATAATTTATATTTTTATATTATTATGATGTGTTTATATTAAAAATAATTAATTTTTAAAAATAAAAAATTATTTTAATTTATTTTTAAATAAAAATTATTTTAAACTACAACTACTATTAAATTTTTAAAAACATTCATATATTCTAATAATTTGATCCATAATAACCAAGTTCAACCTACATAACCCATTGAAATCAAGTCAGATGGGTTTATATGTATTGGGGCTTGATTTCTCCTTTACTGTACCTAATAATTTGTAATTATTCCCTGTATGAAAGAAATAGTAACCTTCAATTCAATCAATTTTTTTTTTTGTATGTGCTAGCACTTTTAAAAAATCAATTTGAATGCTAACTCCTAGATTCATACATTATTTAAGTGTGTTAGAAAATAATTGTTGAATTCATTTATAAGTGGAAACATGAACATCACATCCAATGATCTTGCATTTTACTTGGCCATTGATATAACAACTTGCATTTTACTTGGCCATTAATATTTTAACAAACACTAAACAAAAGATGAAGACATATATATGAAGGAAGCTTGTTTACAGCTGATTATTTTAAAAAAAAATTAAAAGAAACTTTTCATGAAAAATAAGTATTTTCTCTAGCTTGAAACTATAAATAATGATTTTATTCAAAAACTCAAGCTGAATTTTAAAGATATAACTTATATTATTTTTTAACATATACTTTAGAACAAAAGTTTTTTTGGCTTACAACTTCTATATATTTATACTATTTTATACTTTATTTTTATTAAATAAATAATAGTGAAATTTAAACTTATAACTATCTAGTTAGTAAGATTCTGATATTATATCAAATAAATAATTCAACTAAAAATTTTGAGCTGTTAGGTAAAATTTCAATAATATTTTATATTATTATCTAAAATACTTTTTTAAATAAAAAAAATTTTGACTTAAAATTTATATATATCTATATTAACTCGTGTTTAATTTTTATTAAATAAAATAAAATAATAAAAGTCAAATTTGTATTTACTTTATAATACTTTGATATCATATTAAAAAAATACTTTAATATCATATTAAAAAAATTTAAAAAATTTCTGAACTTGGTATATGATAGTTCTTTGTCTAAGAATTTAAATTATAAAGTAAAATCTTAATAAATAATTTATATCATTTTGTAATAGAAACTGCAAAAACATATAATTACAATTTTGGGGAAGATTCATGGAAATTGGTTGGATGAAATTTATTCTGTATTTATTTATTACATAAATAATATGTAATTTTGCTAGGGAAACTTAAATTTAAAAGACATCTCTCCGCTTAATCCCAGCACCATGATTTAAGACTCTGTGATATGATCGATGCGCGTGATTATGACATTAGTACCTTTAATTAACTAAATTTAATTGACTCAATTTATCACCAGTAATGGATTCGATTTGATCGACGTGTAAAGAGACATCTTGCCTATTTTCAAGTGACATGTAAGACATATACCAGTCCCAATGATAACACGAAAGATCTGAACTTGATAAGGAACCAAATCGATAATTGTCGTAATTTGAGACATCTTGCCTGTTTTTAGGTGTGGCCAAGACATGTATCAATCTCAACGTTAACACGATTATTGACACGGAAGATTCCAGTCAGCAGTATTGATACCTCTTTCCCGAATATACCCCGTTCTTTTTACGACCAAATTCATCAAATTAGGCATAGAATTAAAATATTCTGGCTGACATGGATTTTTTCAGTAACGGAATATCACCTCGACAAGGAGTTACATACGACCTTCTGTGACAGCGCTATGTAATTCAGAGGCGTATCGTCACTCACCTCATCATCTGGTTAATAACTACCATATATGTATATATGATCTCTGAAATTCAAAGGCGTATCATCTCACGAACGTACGGGAAAAGTTTCTTCGTTATTTTGTCCAAAAAGGAATTTACAAATCTCTTGATAGATTACCAGACCAGAAGTGTCTGCCACAGAGACTCCACGAAATGTACCAAAGACAACCAAACCTGCTGCTGCAACATCCACCACACTACATATGAATTTAGCTCTTGGTCTTGAACTTTGACTCGTCGATGGGGATACCCTCCCTCTCTGCGCGTTCTCCACCAGACTCATCCGTGGTGCTAAGCCCACCCTTGCGTCCCATTTGTTGGTACCCCTCTGTCCCTAGCTGTTCCTTCCTTGTCTGTCCTCCACGGCTCCTCCCTGCAAATAATAAAGATAATACTAATAGTTAGCAATAATAAATCAGCAAATAATACCGCCCGGTATTGCATAGAAAAAAATGTTATGTATATACATGCATATCTACACATTATGCACTTATACTCATTATCAAAGAGACGGTATCAGTGTATATACCTTCAGCCAGGTGTTCTTGGGCTTCAAGGCTTCTACCCCCAGTGCCTCCAGGGATTACTGTCTCTCCTCTCCTTGCCCTGGCATCAAGCTCCTCCCTCAATTGTTGATTGGAAGACATGTTTTCCTGCGTGTTAAGTCAAAGAAAGCACACCAAATTCACCAGAAGAGTAGTTGCTTTACGAGTCGAGAGATACAATGGTGATGCTAGAATACAGATCCCGCAATATATAACCATAGGCGTGAGGAACCAGCTTCTGGATTGAGTGACAGGTGGTGGATGATGCGGCAAAAGAGGAAGGGATTCAATGAGACACCTAGGCAATGAAGAGCCAGGAGAATGACACGAGTCTTATTCTTGGGTCAAGGGTCCCACTTTTTGACACGTTCTCGATCTTTAGCCGCTTTCAAGCCGAGTACCTTTTTGTTTTTTCTTTTTTCCACGAAAGGGTTCAGTGTCCGTTCAGCGGTGACACCATTGTTTCGCACCATTTTTTTTATATATAAATATAAATTAATTTTTGTATATATTTTTGGATTTGTGAATGTTGTCTTAAAGAAATAAAAATATAATTTAATAAATTTATAAATAAAGAATATTATAGAAAATAATATTTATTATTGTCATAGGTATCTTCTGAGTTTATATTTATTATTTTTTGCCTTGTCATTTTTGTTAAGGTAAAAAAAATAGATTTAAAAAAAAGATTGATTTTGAGAGAGAAGACGAAAATAGACTTTAAGGAAGAAAAAAAAAACAGAGAGAAAAGAGAGATAAAAAAGATAAGGAGAGAGTTCTGCAGTTTCTACAAAATTACTTCATTCATTGCTTAACCTTCACCATTTTCACGCTTATAGTATTTATAAAGTAATGGCTAACAATTTATCAACTAGCTCTAACTCTGTTTAGCAACTAACTATCATCGCATGACTTGTTATCACATGCTGAAGCAACCACCGTTATTGTGATCACGTGGCAAATTGATCACTATTTCTGCATTTGTTACTCGTTACTACTAAAATTGTTGTCTTTTCTTCTTGTGGACATAGGAATGCTTTTATTGTAACAACTGCAACAAATATCCTCCTTCCATTAATTCTGCATACACAGTAAAAATTATAGTTAAGATTTATATACAGTAAATAATATATATATATATATATATAATATTTAATGATTATGTAGTTGTAGTTATTTTTTAAAGTATTATTTACTTGAAAATATATTAAAATAATATATTTTTATTTTTAAAAAATTATTTTTCATATTAAGGTATTAAAATGATCTAAAACACCAAAAAATATTAATTTAAAGTAAAAAAATAAAAAATTATTAATTTTTTCTAGAAATATTTTTAAAATATAAAAACAAATATTTTTTACAAAACTCGATAAAAAAAATATGCAAAAACTGCTTCATAAAAACTATATTTTAACTTAATTTTTTAATGAGCTTCATAATATAAAATATAATTTTTACTATTATCAAATACTTTATTATATTTTTTACATCATAAACATAGAAATACATAAAAAACAAACGAATTACATATGCCTTTTATCGTTATTGCACGTGCAGACCGCAACCCTTTTTTATGGCGAGCGGTCATCTAACTATAAGAGATTCGGTCGGGAGAACCGGGTGTGGATGCAAAATTTCAAGCATTCCATCGTCTTGAAAATGGTCACGTGATCAACTTTTTTTTTTTAGATTAATATGGGTGTCCGGGTCAGCTTGCGTGCATCATGATTAATCTCACGGGCCCTGAAATTAACGACCATGTAAGCCTCCAGTGGCTATTATATAAGCAACCAAGGATTCAAATCTGAAACCATAGAGGGAGTAAAACCCTTAATCCTAAATCCTTACTACTTGATCACCACCTAGATGGTTCATGATCAACTTTTAGATACTTACGTTGTTATATATACGAGGTTTGCTTTTGCTTATGTTTTCGATTCACTTCGATTGTTAGTAGGAGTAGAACAGTGCAATTAAGCATTTTGATTACAAATTTTGGCTCTTACAAGGGAGGATCGGCAAACTATTGAGCACGAAGATCGTGAAAAAACTCGAAGGTATGGTTTGTATTTTTAACCTTCAAATACTAGGATTCCTTGAGAAGTTACACTATCATTCGATTTTGTTTTATTTTGTTTGCTATTATATCTTATATCCACAAGTTTTATTTTGCTACGAGATGTAGTCTATTTTTATTTCTTGCAACGCAAAAACAAGGTGCACGTGTTGTTGATAATTTTTCTTACTACCAATAAATAATTTAATTGTAAACTAAAAAGTTTATATATGTTTTTAATAAAATAAATTAATAATTATATTTACTAGTAAATAATAATAAATATGTTGATTCCAGCTGAATATTAAATGGAGAAGCTAAGATAGATATTTTATTTTTTGGACAAAAAGTTGAATATTTATTTAACTTTGAAACCTAGACTTGATTTAACATTGAAAAAAAACAGTGGTGTTTTTTTTGTAGTTATTAATCCATAACCATGTATATAAATTAATTAAAAATTTATATCAAAACATTCAATTCAATGTAAAAACGTTTGAATTTTTAGAGTTTGGAAATATATAGTTCATTAGCAGGTACAAAATATATGCCTTAAAAAAAATCTACATTTCAAAATAAAAAAGATTTCCACTGTGCATAAAAGAAAGATATTGAATACATGTCAGTATTAGCATGTAAACTCAACTTTATATCTAATTAATAATGCACCAAGTCAATATAGGGGTGTTAAAATCATCTTGAAAGTAATTTAGTTTGGATTGATGTGTAAACTGGTCCGAGAAAAACTTTGGCATCGAATTAAAAAAAAAAAAAAAGCAAGCTAGAACACTAGTATAAATATTCCTAAAAAGCAGACTAGTATCTTTTTTTCGCATTGTATGCCTGTACGTACATCACGTAAAATTTTAAATAATATGAAATAAGTTTATCAAACCACCCTTTGCGTAGTACCCAGTGACACTTTATGTGAATATTAAATTATAAAAATGCTGAAAAATATATTGACAAAAGCTAAAAATTAAAATGTGAAAAATAATAAATACATAAAAATTGTCCAAATTATTAAATTAAATCTTTTTTTTAATATGAGATTACTGGTTATTTTTTATTTTATTTTAACTCACTTGTATGAAAATATTCATAAAACTTTTGTTATTGTTTTTTTATCGCCATTATTAGTTTTAAAAGAATAATCTTTTAAATAAAATAATTCTTAATTTTATGCTGATAACTATATTTTTAATTTCTACTCGTAACATATATAATTAAAATCTAAAAATAATAAAACATGTTAAAATTAAAAAAATTATTAAAATAGATTTTTGTTATTTTTTCAGAACCATTGGTTATTTTGTATGTAATATTTAACTTATCTAGAAAAAAAAATTATATGTTTTATGATAGATTACAATAATTAAAAAAAAGTTAGGGCGAGAAAATCCAAAGCAAGAGGATGGTGACTTTTTTCTATTTTTGGTGAAGATAGGAAATTTTGTGGGGCTTTCTTTGCCCTTCCTTTAATTTTTTTTTCTTTTTAATTAAAAATAACATATTATTTTTTAATGTGAAATTAAAAAATTTTAAAAATATTTTTTAAAACTTTATTATTTATAACATATATAGTCTATATTCATATAAAGTTTTTCTTAATTTTTTCATATGAAATATTTAAACTTTATGTTTTTATTTTTTCTCTAGTTGACCCATAAAACCTAGTATCCGACCCTTAACTGAGTCAACCCCTGGCCGAGTTTAATAATTATGGTTTGACCCTTCAATTTTCAAAGCAACCCTTCCATTTTTCTTTCATTTAGGTGTTTTTTTTAATTTTATCTGTTAATATTTTTTTCATTTATTTTTTTATATTAGATTTGGTCTTTATTATTTTAATTTTTTTTATCATTTTCTTGATTTATTTTGTATTTCAATTTCATCATGCTTTGTTCTATTTCATTTAATTTTCATACCATATTTGGTGTCCATTCATTTTATTACCATTTGTTTTTTTTTGGATTATCAAGGATTTTACTTTGTAATTTTGCAGGCTTGATTTTTATAGGATGACCTAGTTTTATAATATAGGTCGTAGGTTTTGAAAATTAGCTTAATTTGACATTAGTTTTTTTTTAAAAAAATTATCATTCAAATTTAGGTTATTAAACCTTTAGTTTTGTAATTTTTATGTTTTTTTATGAGGTTATTCCTGACTCGTTTCTCAGGTCATATATTTGTTAGTTAACTTAAGTTTTATGATCCCCTAATGTTTTTTAATAATTTATTTAGTTTTATATTTTATGATTTAGCTTGTTTAAGAGTTGACCAATATTATTTTATTCAATTTCTTTTATATAAAGTTGATACAAATTTGACATGCTTGCTAGAGTTGTTTTTTAATTTGTTATTTAGTGTTTAATTTATTATTAATTGAGTTTTGAATTTTTATTTTATTTTATAAAAAAATTTATTTGTTATAAGAAAGATTGTTGAAATATTTTATAAATATTTAGAGGAATCTTTTATAGTATTAACAAGGGTGTTTTTTCCCCCTATTAATCACTGTCGCTTTCTTTCTCTGACCAGACTGGTCACATCTCCATGTTCCTTGTCTTGTGTGCGAGGGGATCTGCGCCTACGTACTATATAATGGACTTGGTCACAGCCCTCCGTCCATGTTGTTTGTGAGGTGAATAGATGGGCGCTCGCAAAAATAGAAAGATCCTCGACATGGAATTATAACTTTCAGCAAACTTGTTATAATCATCACGGAGCAATTCAATGGACGATCTAGAACTGGAACAGAAGCAAACTACAATACGAGAGAGCAGGCACGGTGAACCCGAATGTTCATGTACTTGCTTACCAGTATTCTAGCCTGGTCGTAATAATTAAATATTGTAATTCTAGAAAGGTGGGGGCAGTCTTTCAAGAACTTCTAGTTGATTCGTCATCACAGTCGATACATACATGTATATATATATACAAAAAGCCATAGCAATTTGTGTTGGCATTTTCATTATTGTTTATCCTCCTCTGGAAAATTGTAGACGCATGCATGCATGCATGCATCATCAGTAAGACACACTGTAACGTATTATGAACTTATCATGACCTTGATCAAGGATCAGATCACGTCCTCCGATAAAATCCTTCTCCTC